TTTGAACCTGCCCTGCTTTGTATTTTCTAAAACTGTACTCATCCAATTAAAATACTAACTGAGTAAAAAATACATGCGTAACAGCAAGAGCACTTATATTCATTTTCAACCGTATATTCCCCGAAAAGAGCAGAAGTCTCGCAAACACACTGTTCATTTGAAAAAAGAAGCCATTCCTAAAGTTCGAATTAAAGCAAGATAAATTCGGAAAGAACATACTATGTTGCATATACTTATACTTATTCCTGCACTACTAAATTCCATGTAAAATTAACAGCATTTCTTCATTTTTTATGAATTATCAATCAGGAAAAAGTTGGACTTAACCATTTTTGTGACAGTATATAGAAGTACTGATGGTCAATGCACATCATGTGCAGGCGAAAACGCTGTTATACTGCCATTACAAAGCGAAAATAAATTTGCTGAAATGATTTTTTATAACCTTGTAGGAATAAACTGGTAGGGTATTCTTCGAAAAACGTCCGTGCTGTAATAAAAAAAATGTTGCAAAGAAATTTCCTTTTTTGAATTTTATTGTATCACATACGGGGAAATATACCACGTTATGTGCAAAATTAATGCAATGAAGAAATGAAGTGCAGGATGGAAAATAACTATACCGAAATTACACGGAACAATTTATTACACAAAAACAGTGCAACATTTCACTTTGCAATTTACAGGTAAGCACATTTTGTAGACAGGAAGAATTACTGCATGCATCATTCCTATGTCTGATCCAGCAGTAAGCCCCACTTGAACAAAAAATGAAAATCACACTGCAGTAAATGCATCCACAGGTTTTTACTTTTTACACAGCAGCACCCTTACCTTTTAAGGCTCTCAGCTAACTTTCAGGCAGGCATGCGTACAGGCGATGAAACTTTATTTCTTCACAAATCACACTCACTAAGTCACTATACAATGTTTGAAAAAGAATTCTGGGACAAAAAGACGGACACAGATGGTGGCCAATATAATACACGGCGATTCACTTGGAAACTCCTGACTTCGTCAACCGAGAAAAAAACTAACTGCGCCGAAGCAAGCGAAGCAGGGGTAAATATTGACTCGTCGACCGGGCGGAAAAAATATCGGCTTCAATCAATCGACTTTTCCTCCACGGACCGACACTGCTGAGCTATGCATGATATACGCTCGTCTCTCGTCGTTTTTCCACAAGCAGTCCTCATCATCACCCGTGCTCCTCTCGGCTCCAAGCTCCATCCAGTCTTGATTTCTCCTCTTCTTATCGTGTTTTGTAGATTGAATTCACCACCGAGAGGAAGTCCTATTGCTCCTATATTTTTCCTTTGAGTCTCCTCTTTTTAGACTTGGCGCTAGGGTCCCATTTGACGGAAGACTCCTACTACTCTTTGGTTTCTTTAGCGCATATTGTACGAGTGGTACAAGTTTTGCAACCTATACTGCACAGGTGGACCTGGTAGTGCAAACCTCTCTAATGCAAATATTGTACTGTATCTGTACTGTACGTCTGATGAGCGTCGGATTTTTTCAATCCCTATCCTCAGAAACAATGCATAAAAACCTCCCTAATTTGAAGGCTTTCCCCCTCAAACCACCATGACTCAGATTTTCTGGAAGCCATTTTGGCTAGTATTTTATTGAAACAGGATACAGGAAAGCAATAAAATTGTAAAAATGTGCTCTGAAAGGAAGTGAAAAACTAGAACCCATTTATTCGGGAACGTAAGTTGAAGTAAGTCCTTCGTTAAATACCGGGTATTATAGTAGTTAGGGTTAGAGAACGTTATGAAAAAAGAAAGGAGGTAGTTTTTACAAGCAAGGGGTTATTGATGAAACCTACCTAATGGAATGTTTGCTCGTTCCTATTATAATTTCGAGGTAAGAGTTTCGACTGCACTCGAATAGGCAATTGTTCCTGCAAGGATCGTCTAAGATGTAAATAAGCTGGGGCATCTTTGATTTGATGGCAAAGTAAATTTTATCGTCACATTGGATTTGCAGGGGATTTTCATAATTGTGACCTGAGAGGCTAAACCGTTTGATTTAAATTTGCTTCAATTAACCAAATGTTTGATCATTGCCATTCGTTTTTGTTTCAGGTCGACTCACAGCAGTCAGACACTGAGCGTTTGTATTTCTGCAGAAAATTTTCAATAAGTTCAAGCTAGCTATTGAAGCATTTTTTCAAAATGAATTGCGTCATTTGGGTAAAGTCGGTGCTTAAACGTACGTATACGTTTAAGCACCGACTTTGCCCAATGGGATCAAATGGAATTCAATTTTTTTGGGTCATCCTCATGGTCAGCAATCCAACAGCATATATGAGATGTTACACCGACCACGAGGAAGTGGAAAAGGAGCGTCTGCATTATTCAAGAGGAAACGCATCCCGAGCTGATTCACATTCAAGGGATGTTGCAAAGTCGAGATCGCGCTACGAAGGAAGCGACGAACCTACGCTCCTCAGCTCGTTCATTTCTTGAGGATTCAAAAAGTTCCAAAACAGTAAGTTTATTCGTAGCACAACGATCACTCCTAGCATTAATGCAGGAAATGATACATGACGTAAGAGCGCACGCATGCTGGGTCAAATTAAGAAGCGTAGAAAACCGGAACCAGCCGCTTTCACGATTCGGGTACATACTCCATTTACTTGACCCTGATTGATAGAAAAAAAATTCATGAGTCACAATAAAAGTAAAATGTATCGAGCATATGAATGTACTGTAACTTGTAACTATGAGCACCGACGGAGTTTTCGAAAAAGAAAATTCAGGATAACGTTAAAAATACATACGATTCTAAGTTTTTAACAGTTCAAATCAACTTATACCATGCTATCACTCAATTTATAGTTTGGATGATGCGCATCCTCAAAAACCGAGGTATGCATCGTGAAGTTACAGCAGAAGCCCAGAAATAAGATTAAAATGACTACAAAAAAGAATCCTTTACTATGAAGGATGCTTCTTCAAAGGTGAATTGTATTCATGCTGTTCTTTCCATACAATTATTCGAATATGAAATTAAATAACTCGTTCAGCACAATACTTATTATTAATCATCCAGCATCAGTCGAGGGTGCTGAGGATATACTGTATCGTATATAGAAAGGTTCTGCACCGTTCGCATGCGGTACCAGCTAGGATGACGCTGCGAACTCAATTCATTACTTTGCTCACGAATACTGTACCACCGTATCACGACCGCGAAAAGTCCACAGATACCCGGACGAATGAGTACTTCGAGATTGTTTTAAAATCGTTTAATTGATGACGAACCCGGCGGAAATTTAGCGCTCTCGCAATTTCTATTTTGCGTACGTGAAACTTTTATACTGGTACTTGTACTTATACGGGTGGTACCTCCCAATTCGACCCTATTCTGTTGCCAAACTAGGGTCGAATTACAAGACACTTGATGAAATTAAACAATATCAAATACAAAAACGCAAAAAGTGGCCCTATTAGGTCAAATTGAGGGGCAAGGGTCAAATTGTTATAGTCAACCTCCCTGCGAATTCGACCGTCAAATTGCGGGATGGTCGAATTGCGAGGTACCACCTCAACCACCTGTACTGCTGAATGTCACTGATACCTGCTTCCAACGCATGAGTAATTCTGATTCTCAATAGTATTCCTCCAAACCAATCTTTAAATTACCGTACAGTATTTAACCAGCGTATAGCATAATCGCGTACATTGGAATTACATTATCTTGAATTCTGGGATGACCAGTACTAAATAGTGCAACAGTACCTTAATACGAATAGTGAAGTAACATAATTCTTGGGGGTCGCTGCTAGTATTCGCGGTTCCATCATACGAGGATGCTGGATCAACTTCCAAAAGGGATGAACATGGAGATTTATTAAAAGCGTGGAACTTCATACTGAGACTGCATCGTAATAAGGGCACTGCTATGCATTTTGCTGTAAATTAGTAATGCTGTACAAGAGCAGTGCGAACTCATGACAAAGATGGCGTGGATTCCGAGGATATATTTTCGTTTTGTGTGCAGCTGTAATGATTTATTCATAAAACAGTGTAAGATGACCACCAGCTTGATATCCGCCGAGGTAGTAATTTGAGACGCTAGCTTCTATTCTATGCTGGGCGTTGTATGGTATAGCCATCATCCTCACGTTTCCAACCTCGCCCATAATATAAAGCTCTGAAATCAGCTAATACAGAACAGAGTATATACAGTACAATAGCAGCAGCAGCTTATTAGTTTATTTTAGTTTCATGTAAGATGTAACCGGCACTCACGTATACTATTTTTACTATACTGTAGATATTATACTATGGATATATATAGTCGTATACAGCATATTGTTTTGCAGAATATTGATAATTGAAGTAGCATATATTATTACTATACGTGATTTATATGTTGTATTAATGTGTATCTGTACCCATGCACAATAACTTGAGTGTTTTTTAATTGGCATGAAACAATAATGCATACGCTTTGGGGGGGGGAGGTATATCTGTTTAATCTTTTCAATTTTTTAGCCACAATTTTATTCGAATACCTTTATACAGTTTCACTTTATTATGGCAACACTTTTTCATCTTGGTGCTGGTTTTGGTGTTGCGAGATTGCCGTATTATATTGTATACAGTATATACAGCAGTACACTTTTTAAAGGTGGGTATTAATGCCTATATATATGCGGTATAAAAACCTATATGGCTTATGAAAAAGAAAAAAGTGAAGTATTTTGTTTAATTTTATGAGGCATAAATTCTGCCCCACATTGAGCATATGATCACTCTCTTTCTTACAATTATCTACCGGTATATTTATCCGACAGCCTATATTTTCATGTAACGCACCATGAGCGAAAAATACTGTATACCGTATGCGTTTTACAACAGGCGACATCTGAACGTGTATAAGCGATTACGAACGCGTGAGGATTGTTCCTCTACACAGTACATTACACTTCTTTCGAAGTTTAGATGCTCGCGAAACGTGGTAGGGAGGGGTATTGAAGGAACTCATTCATGCGAATGCAAGTGGCTTTTAAATCTCTAGTGACTTCCAATCTGACAATAGGGATTTCATTGATAGTAAGTGTGCCGGTGTGGCAGGCAGGGCGTACTCTACCCTTAATTTGGACTCTGCGTATAGCATTCAACGTTGTCAGTTGAGAGGAAGGAAGCCACGCGAACATGGGGAAACCTCAAGTGTGTCTCTTGCATGCGGAAAGTGAACATTGACTACAGCTCATTCAAAGCGAAAAGAATGGTGATTATGTACCATTCTCGTTATGTGATTTTATTTCGCGACCAACATTGTAGCCCGTTTTCTCGTGCTTGATTCGAGTGTCCTTCATTGAATTATTGTGCGATTACTGGTGTGTTTCGAATTATAAATGAACGAGTATGGAGGAAGTCTTCGAACGGCGAAACACTGAACGTAAGTTTTTGGAATGGAAAGTGTTGAAGTTAGATTTTTCACCGTTGTCTGAAGTTGGGGCGATATCGAAATGTTCCCTGCATCAGTACGAGGAATGAACCTGATGCGTCTTTCATTGAGTATGCGTGTCTGTGCCATCCATCAATCCTTTACGACTTTCAGATTGAGCATGAATCTGGAACATGTAGTGTGCGTCCGATGCGAGGAGTCCTTCGATTCTCGGGAAAAGATCGTGAACTCGAATGGAGAATTGTGGCATTCTCAATGCTTCACTTGCTGCCAGTGTTTTCAGCCATTTCCGGACGGTGTTTTCTACGAGTTTGATGGACGGCGATACTGTGAGCATGACTTCCAGGTGCTCTTCGCTCCATGCTGCGGGAAGTGCAGTAAGTTATGTCTATTTATAGCAATTAACGCGACAATCAATCATCAGTCAGATCAGGATGTCACCTATACAAGACTATTTCATGTTTTTTCCGAATGAACGAAGTCGTAATTTTGACCTCTTCCTCCTTGCAGATGAATTCATTATTGGAAGAGTAATCAAAGCAATGAATGCGTCGTGGCATCCTTCTTGCTTTCGGTGCCGTGTATGCTCCACTGAGTTAGCTGACATGGGATTCATGAAACACGGGAATGAAGCATTGTGCCACGGATGCTTCGCCGGAGTGAAAGCCGCTGCTCGTGGCAAGCACATGTGTTACAAATGCCAGTTAGTTGTCTAAATTCTGATTCGTGGTTTCCGCTACGAAGATGCAAATGCAGTATTATTTCAGCCAAATTATCGAAGATGGACCTCTGAAATTTCGAGGTGAATTATATCATCCATACCATTTCAACTGCAACGCTTGCGGAATCGAACTTACTTCGGATGCCAGAGAAGTCGCGTCTCGGCCAGGGTACACCTCGCAGGATGTTGTAAGTACTGTACAAGATTTTTCCTTATTTTCATAAAGGGCGACTCTCGCGCCAAAAGACGCGCGAAAACTTGAGAGCAATATTTCCGGGTTTAATGAAGATGTACATTCTTTCCAAAATGTGTCGAAGAAAATGAGTTTATGAAAGAAGGGGTGAATACTGGCAGTAAGTGGAAAAACTTACGATTTTGGCATCTTGTTGGGGAAATGCTGAACACAAGTGAACATTTGCTGTTCGACTGTGTGTAGGTTATTTTCTCCCCGCAGATAGGTGTCCTACCTATCTTTTCATACCATATCTCTAACGATTAGTTGATAACCTCTGTTGATTCTTATGTTCTTACAGTTATAGTTTTTCCGGTACCGTAAATCGGTAGTGCAATAATCTTCTGATACTTGACTGTGTCCTGCCAAGGTGTTGATACCTTTTATTTTCATGTACATTTCAGAACGAATTGTATTGTTTGAGATGTCACGACAAGATGGGAATACCGATTTGTGGAGCTTGTCATCGTCCGATTGAAGAGCGTGTTGTTACTGCGCTTGGGAAGAATTGGCACGTCGAGGTGGGTGGTCCACGTATTTAAAAAAGCAGGAATTCCAACTCAAACCGAATTTTTTTTCAGCACTTCGTTTGTGCGCGTTGTGAGAAGCCGTTCATGGGAAACCGACATTACGAAAAACGAGGCCTTGCTTATTGTGAAACACACTATCATATGCTCTTCGGGAATCTTTGCTATGTTTGCAATCAAGTGATTGCTGGAGATGGTGAGTGCAGTAGTTTGACTAAATACATGTACAGTATTACCAACCTGGGTATCTGCGAGTGCATCATCTACTGAGCTAACGTAATCACTTTCTTAGTACGGGTCATCACTACTCTGTAAAAACAATCCACGATTATTTACTTGTTCGCTCTGGCGATGGTACCTACAAGACCTACAAGGGCAAACATCAAAATGATGTGATCTGATAGTCCAACACTTCAACGACTGGAACTTGTCGAGAAAATGTCTCTCGGATCAGTTTTCTCCCCTTTCGTGCTTCTTCTATGCACTGCTTGTCGTGATCTAATTTTGACGTCATCTTCGGCAGTATTCACATGCATGAACAAAGCTTGGTGTGCTGACCACTTCGCGTGCTTCATGTGCGACCAGAAGCTCAACACGAAGTCAAAATTCTACGAGTATGATTTGAAACCGGCCTGCAAAAAATGTTACGAGAAACTGCCGACTGAGTTGAGGCGGCGATTGAAGAAAATGCACGACGAGCAAGCTCGAAGATCTGGTGGCTCTCCTGTACAGTACACACCTACTCCAAGTGCAGTGGCAGTTGCTCCAGAAAGTCCATAGAAGCTGAGTATGACGTGAGAATCCTTCCGTGCCCGCATGCAGAAATGAGACCATAATATCTTTTCGGCGGATAATTGGCAACTTGAAGGTGGAGTTCGTAACTGAGCTCTGGATTCCAACTGATGTGTGTGAATCGACCTTCGACCTATCAAATTGATACTTCAGAGCTTGTAATTTTGTACTGTGTTCCGAAGGGAAAATTTTGATCCATCATAACCGTCCATGTGGATTAAGTCGAAGCCAATGTGTGTGCATTTTTTTCAATGTATTATTCTTGTACAGTACTTTGTATGGACGGGTGAGCAATCGAATACTGCCATGGAATCCGATGAATCTTGTTCATGTTGAGCGCGGGAAGTTTTTCTTGGTGCTGACGCTCATCATGTTGGATTACTACGCGCTTCTTTCTCCTAAGATTGGCAGCGTTGAAGTTTCATGCTGGAGTAAAACTCTTATTGGGTTCAGGGTAATTTTTTCTCGAGCTTATTTCGGGAATCACGATATTTATTGTTTCAATCAAGGGCTGTATTTACACGAGTGCATTGTGACAGGGAAAGCGAACGTTACAAATTTTTATCTGTATTTATGCAAGTAAATACAGTACGATATTGCTCGTGAAGCGCAATCGTTGGATGCGTCGTATAAGTTGACTGTCAAGTATGAGCGTTGACTGGACAACAGCTTTACACTTGATGCCATATTTTCCAATGAATACAAATTGAATCCCGAATTACTGAACTGTAAAGATCAAGTCAAAACCAGATATTGGAAAAGGATCCCCGATAAATGACGGGAAGGCTTGATGTTCGTCTTCTGTTCTACAGAGTTGAAAACCGGAAATAATGAATGATCAGATTACCTGTCTCGGTACTGTGCACTTGACAAGGAATTATTTCCCTGATGACGGAAAAAACTAGAAGGCGATAATCATATAATTAAGTGTTATTTCCTTGAACCCACGAGGTTCAGTACCGTATGAACTATACGGTACTCAACTCAAGATTTTCCTGTGACTTATTTATAATCCTCTTGGCAAAGATAATTTCCGGCGACTAATTCAGCTTTCCTGTTTCTGCACTTTTATTTCTGGCTTTTTATTTCACCTCGAACTCTGATCAACTGGATAAAAAAGTCGCTGGAATATAATAGTGAACAAGTAGTGTCGGACGAGCATCAAATATTGATGCGTGTGGTATTCATACAGATACGCTTAGAACGATGGACGTGGGCTCAATTGAAAAAATATGATAAATAGATAAATAACCTTGTTTTCGAACTTCGGTTTTACATGGTACGTTCTCAATGACTACGTCGGTTTCCATTACCAGGCAATTGGTGCTAGCTAGCTCCTGAAGCTCAACAGGAAAATTTCCCAAAACTGTTTCGAAAAGCAGTGGGGAAATTTTTATCTTCGAGATTGGGATCAGTTTTCACGAATAAGACTTGTGTTGCATCCCTAATTTTTCAAAGTTCATTGAACTATATCTGGGAAAGACGTAGTATCACGATTATCGGTGCAGCAGGCATGCTGTAATATAGTAAACACTCGTTACAGTGAAACATGTGGAACTTGCTAAATCTTCCTTAAACGAATTATTAAAAAACGTGGCTATTTGTCAGGGACCAAATAATTAAATACTTGGAAGCGATGATTCTATACTGATATCCATAATTTTGGGAAACCAGCTAAGCTGGCTCCCCTGCCTGAGTTGCTCTCTTCCCTCCTTTCCTTCTATTTGTGTTTGTACGAGACTTAGCTGGGGGAGGATTGTGAAATGCGCATTCACCTGTGTTCCCCCTCTATGCTTTTATGGGACAGTCAGCAAGTTCAACAACCTGCTGCTAGCCCATATTCCATTCCCCTTAAAAGCTGCGCAACATTGTACAACAGAGAGCATTCGCATTCAAGAGACTGTACAGATAACTCGAGTCACTGTGTGTAGCAATAAACTGCTTGTCCTGGTTGCTTTAGTTTATATTGATTCATTCTAAAAAATCCTAACTCACAAAGAAAAATACCTATGTAAATTAGCAAAGGCAAGAGTTGTTACCTGAGCCACAAGGCTGGTAGTAAACTTGCTGAAAGACATTGTGGTTTGCATTTACTTAGAGCTAACTGTGACTTGAAGGAATCTCATTGCTAATATCTTTTGAGATTTTAGGATATCAATACATTGAGGCCCAACTGTACTGATTATTTGCATTGCTCCTCTAAAAACAGGAAGATTTTTCATTTGTGTTCTGACTGAACTTTTGAACCAATCCTCCCACTTCTTCCAATGATGCTCCCCTGCAAAGTTCCCTGCATAGAAAGGAAATTTTTACCCAAGCTTGAATAAAATACGCAGTATGTATTTTTTATCTGTGTTGGCCGCGAAAAAGACGAAGTGAATGAAGAAGTGACTCCCGAGTTATATTGAAAAAAATTCCCAGGAATTCACTTGGGATTGTTTTTCCTACCTCCCAAGTTGGACACCACATTCTGTGAGAATATCACCCGTCCATGAGAATGATGCGACCAGGGGAAACAGTTTTTATGTCGTATAACGGGCAGTCGTTACATTACTGCCAGAATGTATGCCATTGACCTCAAGTCGGGCCTGAAGGCCCTCGATTCATGCCACAAGAGTCGAGACAAGGGCAAGGAGTGCTTTTGTGGAAGCTTTTCCACTTTTCTTATTCGAAAAAATTATTCGGTGTTCATTTATTTTCCGGGAACTTCAAACTAAAAAAATTTGCTTGCGTCGTCGGGTGATACTGCAATTTTTAAAACTAGAATAGCTGTTCTGAGAAACTCGTGCCTTGGCGGCAGTGATCAGCAAAATCTTGCGTCTGAGTAAAGGTAGAAAATATTTTTCATGGGGACTCTTTTTAGAGCAGTTTCAAAATGTTGATTGCTGAGAAAACGCCCGTGGGCAGAAAAGTGAAGTTTTTGAAATGGGCTAGCTTGTTTGCATTGATGTGTCAAAGTGTGGTCGCTACCGCGATGCTCCGATATTCTCGTGAAAGGTTAGTTGCATTGCGTGTTGATCATGTGTTCGCTGGAAAATAATCAATCTCGCAGATTCAATTTTTCAGTGGTTCTTCATTCATGTCCGCATTTCTTTTCTTTTTCATTCTATACTGTTGTTAGAAGAACTGTAGTTGAATCAAGGTACGACGAAGACTGAATAATATAATTGAACCTCAATAATGTCATGACTCGAACCTCCCGGCTCAAGTCGAATACTTCACTATGCCGATTTTTTGATTGATTATTTAATTAATTAGAGTTGACGTTCATTGTGCAAATGAACCCTTGCCTCGAAGTTCACATCCTTTCAACTCCTTCAAGGATAAATGTAATGCACGAAACCTCACCAGTTACGATTTCCTGTAATTTGTCTTTCCTTCCCGCGACAAAATGCTTCTTTTCTTAACGATTTTTTTCGCCGGTCCCATGAAGTTCGATTGTACTGTGAAAAATCTTCAGGATTATATGGTTTGTTGTGTCTTCTCACAAGATATCAACTGAAATTCTGCATGATTTGATCGCATAAAACATGTATGCACCAGTAATAATTAAATAAGTGCTGGTCAGGTTTAAAAATGCGCACGTCTACGATAAAAAAGGCTGGATTTGGTCTTCACCCCAATAATAAGTCAAAAACTCCAAAGAAATATTTATCACTTTCTGTCCAGCGAACGATAGAAGAACTTTTTCGAGCGAGAAAAACTATTTGCGGGATGAACGATATTTTTTCGGCTGGAGTCGAGCAGCGCTTGTGAATCAACTGAATAATGTGTACAGTAGGTGTACGTTAGAAAGTACAGGAACCGATACGTGATGATGGCAATTGATTATTTTGAGTAAATATCTTTTTGCCAAGAATTGTATACTTAGCTGATGATCAATGATTAGAAAAGTGCGGTACTCTATTAACCGTCAAACGTCATAATCCAATACTGCATATCAACGTCAATTCCTATGCGAAGTGCCGTCATGAGATTTGTCCCTCGCCAACGGTGAAATACAGCGGGCAGCACATTCTTAGCTTCCTAAAATGTAATTAAACAAACGTTTGTATTATGGCAGGCAACCAGATCCCAAGAAGCAATACCTGACATCTTCCAGCGTAGCGATGGCAGAATTATACAAGCTGTTGATGAGTTCAGTTTTCCTGCTGATCGACTTGGACTTCAGCTGGTCGGAATACAAAACGGCGTTTCGGCAATCATTCGTTTTGGATTGGACTGATACCTTGAAGAGCATGTTGCCTGCGTTTCTTTACTTGATCCAAAATAACTTGCTTTGGGCTGCTTCGAATTACCTGGACCCCGCCGTGTACCTAGCCACATATCAAACAAAAATTCTCACCACTGCTCTTTTCATGGTGGTCCTCTTGGGAAGGACGATTTCGAGGATCCAGTGGTTTTCGTTACTGTTGCTGATATTAGGTGTTACGTTGCTTCAGGTGAGTGTTCGTAGACGAGTAGGATCGACGGCCAAATTTGCTGTCTAATTGTTGAAATATCAAAGATCAAGCGTTAAGTTATTGTCTTCGGTATCATTTGAACAGCGTAGTGCGAAGTTTTCTGTATACTGATGTCTGTATATACATTACTGTATTTACTCGGTGTACAGTGATGTGCGCATTGTTCTGTTCCTCTCTGACGTGTGCTGCATTCCGAGACAGCATGTTCAACGAAGATAATTCAATGATACGGTCACTAGCTGTATCCTTGCTCGATGTAATTACTATTTATCTTGAATCAGAATCCCATCGATATCAACTCATTTATCTGTTCAGCACGCAGAAGTTTTACCGTAAACTACTGTACAGTAAAGTAAATCAATTCATGAATTAACGATCTGAACTGCTCTGTGTACTGTGCTTGAAGTCCTATTCATTCTCTGAGACATGTGCACCACGAATGAATCATGATTCTACTGTATAGATAGTGAATTCTCCGTCGAAGCGGTGACGACTTCCGTATGTAACTTCTGCAGTTTCTGATGAGCCATTATAGTGTACCACCGCGTTTATAAGGCCTTTGCATTCTCAGAGACGTGGTTGCCACATATATGCCTGCTTGCTTGTGTGAAAAACGATTCCTCTTGAATCTTATCCCTAATTCAGAATTGTGATCCGATCTTGCTTGATAGGGAATAGTTTTTTCTTTGATTAATTGCAGGTCGGCTTGCATGACAATATGCCTGCTTGCTTGTGTGAAAAACGATTCCTCTTGAATCTTATCCCTAATTCAGAATTGTGATCCGATCTTGCTTGATAGGGAATAGTTTTTTCTTTGATTAATTGCAGGTCGGCTTGCATGACCATAAAGGGAGAATTCTCAGTACAGATTCTCTGAGCGAACCGCTTTTCGGCCTTCTGCTACTGGTCACGGCTTGCTTCCTGTCGGGCTTTGCGGGCGTGTATTTCGAGCTAATCCTGAAAAGTTCTCCCGTTTCCCTATGGATGCGGAATGTGCAAATGAGCTCTGCTTCTTTGGCCTTTGGGATCATGACGTGTTACTTCTACGACGCCGAAGTCGTTTGGCGAAAGGGCTTATTCCATGGGTTTGACTGGTTCGTGTGGTTGACCATCGTGGCCTGGGCTTCTGGTGGTCTTTTGGTCGCCTGTGCGATCAAATACGCAGACAACATCATGAAGGGCTTCGCTACGGCGTTCGCCATTGTAATCAGTGCATTTACTGACTCAGTGTTCTTTGGGTCTCGGTTGACCAGTGTGTCGCAATCTGGTGCAGCGTTGGTCGTGATTTCCGTTTTGTTCTATCATGGTGTTTGCTGGGGAATCTTTCCCAGAATGCGCATCAGTTTCCCAAAGGCAAATACAGTCTCCTGCATAGAACCAGAAACGACTAAAGTGAAAACAGAAATAATTTCCCAATCGCAGAAAGATTCGAAATCCACAGCATTGATTGATGGCTGAATCATGAACATGCTTCGCGGTTCGGTTCATCCTATTTTGGCGATGAGTGATTTGCTGTTTTTGAGTATAATGCGTGTATTTTTGGATTGAATATTTTTATTTGGGATGTGTCGATGTTTTTTCTTGCTTGCTTGAATATGAACGTTGTTTTTGAATCGAGAGCCATTGTGAAGGAAGCGTTCATTTTTCATTTAATATATAGTATGACACGGTTTCTTGTTGCACTTTCATGCTTTTGCCATTATAGGTCCTTGAAGATAATTACGATTTTCAGAAATTTAAGTTTTGTCATTTTACGAACTTCAATTGTGGATTTCCCTGCAGGTAGAAATGGATGGAAGACATGCACAGAGACACCAAATCACTGGGATTAATCTGAACAGCTCTCATATTAGAAAAGGTTGACGTTTCCCTGCAATTAATCCATAAGGAGTATAGAAATCTTAAGAAGACGTTGGGCCGGCGCATCAGTGACCATAAATCATGCATAAAAGAAAACTGCGGATTGTGAGAATAATTTTTAGGGCTGATTTTGGAAGATACATTTTCAAGCATTGCTAAGATAACTCAGTTATGCATTAACACGCAACTTATTTACTGTATTTGTTGTTCAAGAATCTGAATTGAGCACCTATTTTACGTGATCATTCTAAAGATTTTCCCGAGTCCTCGCAAGAACTTCGTTGTGATGTAATTTTACATGATCAATACTTGAAAATTTATCTGAGAGGCAATGTCTCTTGTGTGACAACCAACTAACCTAGCATGCTCCGATCGACGTACACAGTTTTCTGACACAGTATTTGAAATTTTGTGCGATGTGACGCACTGCTGCACTGAAAGCTCAATGTTTCTCTGCAACCTGCGTACTATCAAAAACGGAGATTGGAAATTGTCGCCGAAGTCTGCGCTGTGGTCTGAAAAATATCCTTGCTGGTGATGAGTCGACACTTCATTTATGGACCCCGAACTTACAACGGAGTTCGTAAGAATGTGATTCAGATACCATGGTACGCAAACACAAATTTTATTCTTAAGTTGCTGACAATAAAAGCTTTGAAACATCCCTCGTATTTACTCGACAGGATTTTAAATGGATGCACTCGGTGTTGCTTCGAAACGAATTGATTCGATGCGATCAGGATCAAAATAAATCGTTGTCTGTGACTGTTTCGAAAATCCAGTCCATGTATCTGGAAACCTGGGCGAAAACTGAAACCTTGTTCGGATCTGCACAAGCTCCGATTGTCCAAGATATTATCCCAACGAGGGAATGAAATGGATCCACCAGCGGCCCTCCGGAGTCTCCCTGAAAAAATTAAACAAAAGAGCAGGACATATTCTTATGTAATGAAAATCCAGAAAAGTATACAACCTAAAACGGGTAAATTTTTGATTCCCAAAAAATGATCATATTATGAAATCTGGCTTGTTCTGTATTGTAATTCAATCGAATATAATTGTTTTCTAGTTTTCTATGAAATTTAGATATACAGTATAGTAAACTTTAAATAAAGTGGGGATGGAAAAAATGCGCTGGATCCACATCCTATTGAATAATTTTCGCACGTTAACGAAACGTACGATGGGAATGAATATTGTGATCGAATTGTATTTTATAATTTATTTTTATTTTGGAACCAATTGATTGATTTTTCCTGAATAACCTATGGGGAAATCAATCAATAGTGACTTGACTTGGATAAAAAAGCCTTGAGCAATAAAACAGCAACTGATGGAACACTATAGGTTTGTTGCTTGAGGCCCCTGATGTGTACAGTGTTTCACGTTTTCTGCACTGTCTGAGCAATTTAAACTAATGTATGTGTGCAGACCTTGCAAGTTCCACTATTGCTCCTGGGATCCCCAGCGCAAAGCATGGCTTCTCCAACCTGATCTCCCATGATATAGCTGCAGAAGTCATCTGTTATGTGCTGCAACCAAAGCTTGTGAAGTTCGGAAGGCTTGGCTCCATTTCCCAAATCTCCCCAGCCGTATGCCAACAAATCATAACCTTGCATGGAATCGAAGGGCAAATCAATTATGACTAACAATTTGAATTCATCACCCCGTTTCTTACTGAAAAATTCGTCTTGCAAAGCAGGTAAGCTTGCTGGCCAAACAAACAAATTTAGGTCAAACGCTTCGTCAGGCTCCATGATGCAAATATCGTGTTCAATCCATCGACTGGAAATTTGAATGAAGTACTGTACAGTGCTTCACCCGCAAAGATATATATTGAAATACTGAATAAGTATACAGTATATGCCTCACCTTGTGTTATGCAAAGGATGTATGAAAACATTCTTCACGGTTCTTCTCTGCTCATTTCCCGTTACTGCGTAAAAATCGAAGATTCCTGCTACTAGCTGAAATATTAGTATGAAATAATGAAAAATTATGATCCTTCAGAGAGTCGCGAAAAATGAAATAAGTACGTTTTTCAGTGGAGGAACAAGACTGCAACAATGGGCTGCTGTTAGAATTGCCTTTTTTGTTATGAGGGTTGCTGAACATCCGTGTTTTCCGTGGAAAGACGACTTACGTTTCGGAGGAATTTGGATTGAGACGATGTGAGGAAACTCTCCGACATGAGTTATTGATCCGCCTGCAATTTGAGAAGAACGAATTTAACTGATCCAATTTCTTACATGTACTGATTTCTTAATGAGAAGTCTATTTCAAACGATAAACTTACCTGAGAGAGACTCGCTTTTATCAAAATGTAATGTCGCTAACATCAGGATGACAAACGCCGTGGCTTTTTTCAGCGACATTCCGGTTAATGAATAATTCACTCAACAGGACGCGTCGACAGCACCTTAAAATCTGTATAAGACACCACCAGCACTGACGAAAGTTTAATTAAAATGTCATCTTGAGTGAATTTCTTATGAATATGCTTGTAGCATGCATTATTAGACGTGGTGCAGAATCCATTGATACGGAGTCGGCATGATGTTCAATTTGCACGCGACTGATGAGCAGGTTTGGTTTCAAAAGCAGTGCAGCAACGTAATGCAGGCGACGGACTGGCAGTTTTCATGATCTGAAAAACTGATTCTGTGAAGAGCGGGAAACTCTCAGTAGTGCGAGAATGCAAATGTCCGCGCACTTCGAAACACCGGTGTAATGCCGACGTTCCTAACAGGAGTCAAGTGACGTTGGGTGTGCCTTGAAGTATCCGAGTGTACGCTTCCAGCATACTCACGAATTGAGCTTCTCTTTCGTGGATGAAGACTGATCTTGTTAATTTTTGCTCTTAGACCCCTAAAATTTCGTGAACTTTTCGAACCGCGAGGCGCGATGATCCGCAGTTCTCTTGGTGGAGGAGATGCCCCACCATCGGCTGAATCCAAGAATAATGAAGCACGATTGAATGTGTATGCTCAGGTTGCGACATTTACCATTCTCGCTGTTGTGATCAGAGCAGGTATGTTCATGACTTTTTCATGGAAGTGCTGATTTAATATTCGGTTTTACTTCCACAGCGTCCGCTTTCTTTGGTGAGGATATCCCCTGAAGCTTCAACGGAAATTCTGTAATGTACAACACACAGCGTTCCGCGATTGAAATCGCGAAAAGTTTTTAGGATATTTAGCCGTGTTTTGATTGCGTGGAAGAATATGTTTTGGTTCTGTTCGATTTTCTTAGAAGGAGTGATCTCGTGTGGCGCGATTACTGATGTTATTCTATTATACTTTCTTGATTCTGCAGATTAAATAGATTGTGTTACGATGGTGGCCTCTCCCGCCGTGAATGGCGATGTAGAACCCCGAAAAGAAGACATGGAGATCGAAGCGAACTCAGAGAATGGCTCAATTAAAAATGAGCCCAGGAGCCGCAGCGTGAGTAGGTCAAGGAGTCGGAGCAAGAGCGTGGAACTTTCTCGTTCGCGTAGTTCATCGCGTGGTCGGAAGCAACGCAAATCTGCTGCTTCTTCGACTCGGGTAGTGCAAGTCACGAATATCGCCCCGCAGGCCACACGTGACCAAATGCAGACTTTGTTCAGTTTTATTGACAAGATTGAAGATATTCGACTTTATCCCACTGTGTAAGCTTTTATCATTTTCCGTATTACTGTACAATAATGTTGAATGATGTTTTAATGGCTTCTTTTCCAGGCGGGATGTTTCGCATCCCGTGCAGAGTCGAGTGTGCTACGTGAAATTTAACAAGTCGGAAAGTGTTGGAGTTGCGCAACACTTGACGAACACTGTGTTCATCGACCGTGCGATCGTTATCATTCCTGAACCGACCGGTGAGAATGTTACCCCACAACAGCTGTATCTTTATATTTCCATTGGTAAATACAATTTGTGTTTCCAATTTCAGGAGAAATTCCGGATGAATCAAAAGCGTTAGCTTCTGTTCAGGGTGGGCTTTCTGGTCAGCTATCTGACTCAAAATGCCCCTCGTATGTCGTTACTTCGGTTCAGGGAATTCCTCCGCATCAGCAATTCCTTACTGTTGACCCAACCCTCGCCGCCAATGGTTTACCCCCGTACCCCCCTTTGTCGGCTTCTTTCGATCTCAATCGTGTTGACGAAATTCGTCGCACCGTAGCGGTTCTTGGGCTTTCTTCGAATAGTAGTGCCGAAAATGTGGTAGAATTTTTTGGACGCGCTGGAGACGTAAAATATGTGCGTTTGGGACAGAAAACTTCGGAACCCAATACGCGAGCTGCACTTGTAGAATTCGCTGAGCAGCCGTCGATAATAGCTGCATTGCGCTTGGGACTGAGTGGTGAAGCCGTCATTGATGGTCAACGGGTCGTTGTGACGCATGCGACCCAGTCAATACTGAAGCCGCAGGCAAAATCGAATGAGGCCGCTCAGAAGGAAATCGAAGAAGCAATGAAAAAAGTTCAAGAAGCTCAATCCATGATGACTAATACGATGGATCCAGGTACTGTATTTATTATTCAACTTTCAGTGCCTCCTGATTTCTAATCTTTCGTTTTTGACAGAGCTGAACGCGCTTTCTGTTTTGGGATTGATTGGACAAGATGGCAAAGAAGCCTCTCGAAGTCGATCGAAATCTAGGAAGCGTTCTGTTTCTCGGAGTAGACGATCTCGATCGCGTCGTCGATCAAAAAGTAAAGGGAGATCGTCAAAAAGTCGAAGGTATGTCTCCCAATTTTTTCCGCGCCGTACAATGAACAAGTTTCCTAATTTCCTGGTATCCAACGAGCTATTATTTCGTGAGAGAAAAAGTGTGGCTTGGTAACTTAGTTGAAGACGCGAAGGGCTTACGATCCGAGTAAAATGTTTAGTTCCGTGTAGAGACCAATGAAAATAACTTAACCAGATCGATGAATTCAAAAACATGCCCAATATTTCGCCATTGATGTCTTGTGAAAGCATTTTGTTAGTTGAAAACGGTGAACTCCTGAATAATACTGCGGTTTACGCAAATTGACGCATTGGTCATATCTGGGAGATACCGCACATTCGTTAGTATTGGGAACAAAGGTTTGCCCGGATTTCTCATTCATTTTTATTACGCTGAATGATTTGGCTGAATTTTCATCAGTGAAGGCGATCATTTCAAATAAATACCGGTACCTGTATTCGATCTTCGCACTGCATCACGCGGCGACCGCACGGGTTTTTGAATTTAGTCTTCTTGCTGATTTGTACTTTCTTTGCGAAATTCGGAAAGCGAGCTGGTTTTGTGTGTTCCTTTTTTATTTCAAGAGTTATGGAATGACCTTTTTCTTTTTTGCAGACGGTCTTCGTCGCGAAGCAGAAAGCATCGTTCAAGAAGCCGGGGTCGCAGAAGACGATCCCGTTCGCGTCGTCGCTCCCGTTCGAAGCGGAGATCGCGGTCTCGCGGACGTAGATCACGTTCCCGAAATCGATCTAAGCGTAGTCGTTCTCGATCGAAACGTCATGACAAAGAAAAGACTCGAGAGAAGGATCGGGATGCGAAGAGTAGTAAAGAACGTTCGAGTCGACGCCGTAGCAAGGAACACGAAGAAAAACGTGATAAAGACAAGGATAAGTCAAGGGACAAAGACCGGGACAAGGATAAAACCAAAGGTAAGGAGGAAGAACGGGATGCGAAGAAGAATAAGGAAACGACGAAGGGGAAGGATTCGAAGGAGAAGCAAGACGAGAAAAAGGAAGAAGAGGTAAGTGTTTCACTCACTTGACGAAAAGATTTCGATTTGTTCGAGGAAAAGATTTCGGTATTATTTTATACACATACGGGAATTGAACTCTTTAAAATGTTTTTCTCGCGCTCATTCGTGACACCTACATTATTCTGTGATGTTGCAAGTTAAAAATTTGATCCGTCCGCCAACATAACAACGCTCGCTTAAAAAAAGATCTATCTATCTCGCTTGGAAATTGGATGTATCATTGTATTTTTTTCACCGACACTATTTATAGCTCGCAGTTAACTTTGAGAAACACTGGTCTAATCGAGTAGCGGAATGCAGTTGCGCGAAATTTCCGTTTTTCCGATGGCACCGGGTGTGGTCTTCGCGTGTGAAATCAAAGCCGTAAAATACAAAATTCCCAGAATATCTGCGGTTTTTTTTTTTTTTGCTTAGGATTCGAGTCCGCGAAGACGAGGTATGGTTCACACTTTTATTACTAATTCTCTTCTCGTTGCCAGATATTAAATATTTTATGGATGATGATAATGTTTTGCTCAACTTCCTGAGCAATGTCTAAGAAATCTTATTTGACGTGACGATATTTTTTTTCAAGGTGATATAATTTCCATCAAATGAAAAGAAAGTGGAGAATGAATCATTGCATTGAATCCCGTACAATTTATGAAAATATTGTAAGCTTTAAAATTGTGTGTTTAAATGAGCGTGGCCTTGATGTGTAAATTGGCGAGCAATATGTTGCTCAAATAAGGGCTGCAATTGAAGAGAAGCCTGTTCCGCTTTAGAGCAGATTTCTTCACGTTTTTGCACAGGGCCCTAAGTGGTTCGGAGGATCCTGATCCTTGTATTCGGGTAACGGAAGAACTTTTTGACGATTAAAATTTCAGCATTTTTTCGATTGGGAAATATGAAAATTGTATGTAGAAATAAGATGAGATTATAAGACACTGAAAGGAAGTTGACTGATCAGAGGATGCCAAAAAGCCTTTGACTCCACCTGGCTGTACTACATTATTTAAATTGACTGTTTTAACATTATGAATGAACTCTTGTACCATGGGTTTATATTTGAATGATCATTTTTTGTTTAAGATTGAGTATGGCCCTCGACCACCGGGAGAATCCTCTCGAGACGTCGACAACGCTGAAGAGGATGCGAATTCATCTGATGGCGATCGTGATGAGCCCAAAGAAAAGGAAGGAAGCGTCGAAGAAGAATCCCCTTCTAAATCTCGAAGCGGTGAAGTGGTTGAAAAACTTGATTCGACTGGTGATGCTGATACAAGCAAGGACCTAACTGAAGAAACTGAAGAAGCGGCGGATAAAGAAGAACACGGACGAGGGGATAACAGAGACAAGGCTGATGTCGATGAAAAATCCGATAAAGGCGAAGAAAGTGCTGCTGAGGAAGACGTTAAAGAAAAGAGTTCGAGCAAAAAGGAGAAAAAGTCGCGAACGGAACGAAGTCGTGAATCCCGGTCTCCTGCTCGAAAAAGGCGGCGGTCGCGCTCTACTTCAAGGTCACGTCGTCATCGCAGAAGAAGTTCGAGTCGAAGTCGCAAATTGAAGGAGAAAGAGAAAGAAAAAGAGAAGGAAAAGGAAAAAAGGCGAAGGGATCGCAGATCTAGCCGCAGCACGTCGCGTTCTCGTCGTCGACGATCTCGCAGCGAGTCACGATCTAGGTTTGTAATGTAATATGCGATAAAATGTCACTTCTCTCTCCAGTTTCGTGTGCTAAAAGCAGATTGTTGAATTCATGTTCGTCATTTCATAATTTTCAAGATTATTCTCGTTCCACGCATTATTTTTTCGTGTAATTTACCGTGATGTCTTTGCTGACGAACACTTCGCGTCGCGTATTTTTCACGCAAAATACTCTAAATACTAACGATTTATTTCCCGAATATAAATGTGATAAGTAATCATTCTCCGAAAAAGCAACGTTGTGACAGCCAGCATAATTTTGTAAAAATTCGGAATGAGATAATTCCCGCGTTGAACATTGTTTTTCGTGTTCACGAAATTTATTGGATACTTCTCGAGTAGGGACCCCAATATCCTGTAGAATTTTTTTTCTCTTTTGAAAACTAAAAATACCTTCTACAATCCGTTTATCACAGCATTTTTTTCTTGCTGCCATACTGCTGTTCCCGTGTAGAGGACAAGAAAATTGTTATGATGTCGAAAAAGGAAAGTTTCCGTTTTTGTACATGCTGAGAAGCTGCATTTCGGCGCTCGAAGATCATTTCACGATCAGTCTAAAAAATAATGTTCCGATTCAGGCGAATTTTCAGAAATTTGCAAGATATATTTTTGAGATTACCGTTACCGGATGATTCTTAATTACAAAGACGAAGTAGAGCAACTAAGATTCAGTTTCTCAGGCAAATGAAGTACAGTGCGATTATTATTGGAGGAAACCTGGTTTTCTTGCGTAGATTTCTGTCTGCAAGTCTTCTTGAAATTCTGGGAACCCCATTACTTTATCTAGACTGTTTATTTTGTTCGTAGGACTCGCCGCAGTGAGAAAGAAAGTTCTCGTCGAGGAGAAAGCTCCAGAGACAAGAAAGACGAGAAACGAAAGAAAGATCGTCATCCGCCCAAGAAGGCAGTGAAGCGTGATTACGACGAGGAAGAACGGGTTGGTTTGGAGGAAGTCGATACTGAGCGCGCCGGCTCAGACGAGGACATGGAAACGAGAGAACCCGAAGGATCCAAGAATCGACGTGCCTCGTCTAGCCCGGAATTGGGTAAAGGGGATAATGACGGCAATGTTGAGCGTGAAGAACCGAGGGCATCTTCGAAGAAGAAAAAGAAGCGCAGTCGAAGGGACGAAGAAAGTGACATGGAGGTCAGCGACGACTGATCCGGGCGCGGAGCGATGACAGTTCAAGTTTTTCTCTTACCGACTGAATCTTGTTCGTACGCGTGTCTCCGTGTGTATTGGAAAAAGTCATACTTTAAAACTGCGATTTTTACAGCACTCTCGCGCATCTTTAAATTCGTTTCTGTTGGACTGTCGCAGCTCATCGAAGTTTCTTCAAAGTGTCGTTCGTTGTAATCCGCGATTGGGTTCAGTTTGTAAGAAACTTCTGGTGTGTGAAAGGGAAAAACAAAATGCTTCTTCGGAGCGCGGTTTAGGTTTTCTATTTTGATTTCTGTGTGAAGTCGGTGCAACATAATGTTCAACAAATTCTGTCCGACAGATATTTCGCAATGTCTTCTGCAGCGGCGACGAGATGGAGTCAGGAGTTACAATTCTGGGATTTTAAAGAGCTTCAGGTACAAAAAAAATCTCTACATAACTTTTAAGTAAATCCTAACGTCTCCTTTAGACCATAGGTGTAGCTTTTTCGCGATTGCCGTGATTCCCATTAAATAAATTTAAAACAAAACCCCAGAGAATGGTGGCATGTTCTAAGATGTGGAACGTTTTTTACATTTTCGAATATTTCGATAACGGAAACGAAAAAAATGTTGAGACACTTGAATCCAGGCAAAAATCCCGTACGGGTTTGTTCTGTTCTTAATGTACGCGGAACTGATGGCCTTGCTCTGTGACATTTTAAATTGAGTCGTTGTTTTCTTTGGCTCACTGCTCATGATCATTTCGGGAGTTCATGAAGAATTGATACAGGGCCCTCTCTGTTATGCGAATACTGTAGATCATATTTTTGTGCTGTCAGACTTCAAATAGTGAGAAGAAATGTTGCTTTCACATGTATCGAAAATATTCAGTTCATCTGATAAGTACCGTACGTTAATAATGGGACGTGCAGCGTACCTTTTGTATTGGCACGAATTTCTTTGGAAAGTCATGGTGAAGATCCTGTCTTCGCTACAGGCGAACTGCATGGGATTGAGCCCACGTGGGGATGTAGCCGTTCTTGGTGGGAAAAAATGCATGGGGCTAGTTGACGTGGACGTGAATCCAGGGACACTGCTTTCGAGATCCGATCGTTCCTCGAAGTATGACGTCGCTTGCGTATCGTTGAGCCATGCTTCCGACGGGGCCGTTGCAGTCGCATCCAACAACATCGTGGAACTATGGCGCATCTCCGAAGACCACCTCGATTTGAAGAGCGTTTTACGTGGACACGCGCGCGCAGTGACTGACATTGATTGGTGTTCTGGCGAAGAATCGCGTCTTGCTAGTTGTTCAATCGACACGTATATCCTGATATGGGATCCTAGAGATGCCCGTTGCCAACGGAGACATTCGCCGGCGATCACGTTTTCTGCGATGAATGCCGCCTCTCAGGTTAGGTGGTCGCCAATCCGGCCGGAGTATTTGGCGTCAGCGCATGAGGGTGAGCAAACTTAGTACCTATATAAGAACCATCAGTTTTGCCGGTAGATTTATAGTACAGTACAGTATTTGGGTTAATTGCTTAATTTTTTTCTTTTTACTCGCATTGCTAGGATAAGTTGATGCAATTTTTTTATGTTCTGACTGTTGATTTTAGCGCCAGAAAGCTCCGGGGTTGAATTATTTTATAAGCAGATAAATTATCCGAAGTGATAGATTTGTTTCACCACTTTCATTTGGCGTCTGCGCATGAGGATGAGTAAGGTTAGGAAAAAAAAAAAGTTCTGCCGAACTGCCAATAGATATACTGTATGTGAGTTAATTTTTTCCAAATTAGGATACTTCGATGAAAATTATGTTTGAGGTTCCGGCTGTTGATTCTAGCACCAGAAAGTTCCGGAGTTGAATTAATTTTGCAATTAAAAGTATAAGTTAACCGAAAAGATGAATATGCGTTACACCTAATTTAAAACTACACAGTACACCGTAATTGTTCGGAAAACCGCACACGCCTGCATTTTTGCAGCCTATGATTTTCGTAATGCTGGGAATTTTTGACCAGCATCCCTTGCGCATAATCATGCTAATTTCAGCATGAACTCTGGGCATGCATTTTATATGGCATGATGATGGGTCGGGGTTTTCTTTCCGCAAGAAAATTATTCCATGCGAAGTTTACTTTTTGCAATGAAAGACGTAGCTTCTCTTCTCAGGAATTTTCTTCTCGGGAAATTGCCGTGGTTGGGATAATCCGAGTTTACTTCCAATTTTATCGCTGTCAGAATTCGTTGGTGAAATAATTTCATTACTCGTATAACCGGGAAAAACTAGCGATAATTTCTAGAGGGTTGGTGGTGATATTTTCAAGGTGATGTCAGGGTTTGGGACGTTCGGCAACCCTCGGGACCATTTCAATACATCGGTGCTCACTCAAGTAAAATCCATGGTATCGACTGGGATCCTCTGGATCCGAACAGGATCGTAACTTCTTCGCAGGATCGAAGTTGCAAGGTTGTTTCCTTGTATTCATATTTCCTATGCAACGTTCACGAGATTTAAATTTGCTACTTTTTTTAAGGTCTTCGATATTCGCGAGCCAAAAACTCCCGAAATTGTCATAAACACAAAGTATCCCGCGTGGAGATCGAAATTCGTTCCGTGTGGAAACGGAATAGTTACTGCCACGGTGCCAGCCAGATGGTTGACGAATTACAGGGCTGGGGTCACGGATTCGAATAGTTTGGTGCTGTGGTCGCTGGGATCAAAGAATTTGCAACTGCCTCCCGCGCCAGTCCATACCTTTATGGGCCATACAGATGTTATTCTGGATTTCAACTGGAAGCGCTCGTTTTCTTCGGCGACCACGCTTTCGTTGAGTGCGGGAGAGGAAGAGGATTGCTGGATTGTGAGCTGGTCAAAGGACCACACGCTAAGGTCCATTCCTTTTAATCCCTTCCTATTGTTCTGCACTATGCTTGCGTGAATATTATTTACACGCGTAGAGGCAAACATATCTCGAGTATTTCTGTAAAACTCGAGTGGACCGCGCCACAGTTTCTTCTATGCTTGATATAATTCAATAAAAATTACTGTGGTAAATCGAAATTTCGCTGAATATCAGCTCATTTTTTACACAGAACATATACTGTAACAATATTTCTGAGTGTTTCAAATAATCGGTGCCTGTGTATTTCTCTCTTATTTTTCGCTATTTGAAAAGTTTATTCGGACATTTTTAAGGTTTTAAATGTGTATAAGCAGCAGTTTTCCTGAACAGCATTGTGCTGTACAAGTTAAATCTCTTCACGACGAAATTCAAGGGACCAAAAACACATGTTAGAGTACACTCATTACACGGGGGATAACCCTTGCATGGATTAAAGAAAATCATTAATTATGCCGAGAAAATTGTTGCAGAGAGAGTCTACATTTTTTGCAGTTTACATGTATACTTATATCCATTTAACTTCGCTTTTCAAAATTCGGATGCGTCCTGTTTACATTTTTTTTTTAATTGGAAGCAGGTCGGCGACGAATCCAAGACATTCCGCCGCTCGTTACTCAAGTGTCTCGAAAATAACGGGAAAAAGTTGTCAGATGCATTATCACGCGTTTATGTGGAATCGTCTGTGTTAGAGTGCTCAGTGAATATAATTTCTTTAACGTATCATCAGAGGTGCACTGGTCGGAGGACTTTTGAAGAGTGGATGAAATAATTTTCAAGGCAATCAATGCTCATTTTTGTGATCCCCTAATAAAAAAGCATTCAGACTGCTAATTTAAAACAGACTTCACGCATCCTACATCTGTAGAAACGATCTAGAAACAGTTTATTATACTGTACTGCATTCGTTTTATTATAGGTAATGAAGCAGGTTTCAAGCGATTTCGATGATGTAGCTTTAAAATCCGTGTTTCTTCGCGAAATGTGCAATTGCGGAAATCCTTTTTTTTTTTAATTACCTGCGTATTTCTTTGTCGGTGCATCAACAGATTCTGGGGGTTAGATGTTCAAACTGAAAAACTTTTGGACATGGATCAGCTCACGGATGCAGGAGACGATATGTCTCGATCTTGTCGTTACTCGGAATGTTCTTCCTCCTCGACCAAGTCGAGCCTAAATGCGACTTCTCTACTGGAAGAGTTCGCTCTTATTAACTGCAGAAGTGAGGAAGTGTCGGTTTCTGAAAAGAACAGCGACCTCCGCACTTGTACGATTGTGATGACGAAGAAACCGATAGGATTCACGATCAAAGTTGATTTCCCTCTCGGTTATCCTAACGGCATTGGTCCGTCTTTTGAAATGACGGAAAGCCAAGGAATGACTGAGGATTTCAAAAACCACGTTCTAGCCGTGAGTTGCATGTCTGAATAAATGTCGCCCATTCGTTGCTGCATGTTTGTTAAATAATTCAGATGCTGAGGAATGTGGCTCAGAAGCAGATTGTGAAGAGTAAAATGTGCCTTGAGCCTGCGATCCGTCGATTAGAAGCTCTTCTGAAATCTGTCGGCGCAGGAACATTTCCCAAATTGAAGAAAACCCCTTCATCCAGTGCGAAGTTGACGGAAAACCCCGCTGAAGCCGTTCCCGTTGCGGAAGAACCTGGAACGTATGTAGTCTATTACTTCCACTTCCTTCGTTGAGGTAAAGGCAAAAAAAGATGATTTCTTATAGGGAAAACTTTCAATGGAAAGAAACTACGTTAACGTCGCTTTTCCACGCGAATTTCCACGACGTGTCCGTGCCTTTTCCGCGGACTTCGGGTGCGCGTTTTTGTGGCCCCGGGTACCTTGTGTGCTTCGGTCGCCCAGGAATGTACAAAAGCTACTCCGGTTTGACCATCGCATCGGCACCGAGTGAAATTTCCATCGAGAGAGGAGCCGGAGAAGCGAATAGTTCTGCAATGTCGACGTCGAAAGCCGCAAAAAGCAAATCAAGGAAAGCCTTCGGAGTGGGCATTCCTGTTGCTGTAACCGCAGCGGCACAAGGTCAAACTCCGAGGTCGCTTTCGGCACTGGGGGGATTCATGCCGGCGTCAGATTTTGATCCCAGTGTGCCTGTGTACACCCGACGAGGTTCGACAAGGAGACGAAGTCCGGCTTGTGTGTACTATGATACGCCTGTGCAAATTCATCAAGCGAGGAAACTTAAAAGTAAGTCTGGGGACAGCACCGGGGAAGGAGCTGATCGTCGCAAGACTGGTGATGGGAAAATGGAGGCTGATGTCGCTGAGTTCTCTGGAAGAATGGCCGGAACGGTGGTGCACGTGTTCGATATATCTCGACTTCTTCCTGCTTCGAGAGTGAGTTATTTCATTTCTTCAAGTTTTCTCGAAAATTCTTGAGGGTTGAGTGGTGCATCTTGGGACGAATGTAATGCTTTCCAAGTATTCGAACGATTTACAGGGTGGGCCAAAAGATTGAACCGATTTTTGACTTGATGTAGCTTGGTAGAAAATTGAGCAGTGGCTATGAAAAAAAACATCACAAGAATGCTTGTTCAATTCTCTTTCAAATTTTATTATTTTTATGGTCCCAAGTCCCAAGGGATGGCCACAAGAACCATTTGAATTAAAACTTCAAAAAAGTATCAGGCTACTTTTTCCACTAAGCTGTTGTTCTGGAGAGCTGTTTGCATGAATAAAAGAAATGCAGGTTGGAATAATTTAACCAGATAACTTCATGCTGTCTGCACATGTTACCAAAATTCAGAAGCAGGGGTGAGAAGGGGAAGGAAATTCGCAGGATAAGGATGCCGCGGGTCTCCTTTTGTGCACTCGTACTGGGCACTGGCAACGCGGCTCCGGGTGACCCACTGCATGAACATTTTTTTCTGGATGACTGGATTGCTGAAACTGATTTCAAGTGAAAATGGTTTTGAATGGAACTGATTGTTTGAATGAAACTAATTTCTTGGGATTGTAAAACTACATACCATTTGATGGATAATTGAACAAGCTTTCATTTGGCGTTTTTACATTGCCACAGCCCAATTTGCTACCGGGTTATTTCAAGTCAAAAATCGGTTAACTTTTTTTGGCTCGCCATTTATAGTCGTTTCCGGAGGTGTTTGTTGCATGGGATTCAATTTTTCATGCGAAAGTTGAAAAAATTATTTGCGTAAACCAAGAATGGTAACTTGCCGTATTTTCTCTTCTACCGTGCGCAGCTTTTTTCTAAATTTTGATAGATAAAAGCAGGTTTGCGCGTCATAGGGGGCATACATTTTTCAAAAAGTCTACCCGTTTTGAACCCTATTCCGTGTAACCTCGACTTCTTTATTCCAGGATTTAGCGAAGAGATACGTTGTTGAACCTGCTGATCCCATTGGGGCGTGTGTGCATAACTCCGTCGTGTGTGAGGAATATGGATATATGAGCTTGGCTAGATCTTGGAAATTAGCTGCTCAAGTGAGAATTTGCCTTTTGATTTTTCCCGTGTAAAATATACTGTATCCTCAAAATTTTTTCAATGCAGATCGCTTCGTCCGCTTGTAGAATTCCCAACTCGCCATTTGAAGTTCAGCTGGATGATTTACCTACAGGAAGAAAGCTATTGGAGAGCATGATTGATTATTACGCGGGCAAAATGAAGGATGTTCAAATGGCCGCTGCTCTTTGTTGCGTCTTTAGTTCAGGAAAGCATCGCATCATGAAATCGGGAGAGTGAGTATCTGATTTGCATCATTTTACGGTTCATGATAATACTGTATAAGGTTTCGAGAATTTGTTTAAAAATTTTTGGTTCATGCTTGCAGTTCTCCAGTAAAACGTCGTACTCTTCCGAAAGTTCTGAATCAAAGCTCGAGCTACAATACCATTCATGATCCAACTGGAAATTCAACTCTTGGTGAGTTTTGGCAAATTTTTTGTTCAATTTTTAAAACCCTGGACAACGGAAGAAAGGATCTATTCGTCTTCAGGTTACTATGGAGCCAGGCAATGTCGGTCAAATTCTTGGACTGAAGACAACCGAATAAAACTTTGCTCTCCTGGCGAGTGGAACCTTAGCATGGAACCACTTCATGAGCAAAAGCCGATACACGAAACCCCATGTTCTTGTCAAATGTCTCACAATCATAGCCCCACTTCTCGTGGTGCTCACGGTTTACTGAGTCCTAATAGATACGACGACTGGGACGATTTCAAGCGAGCTTACGCACACGTTTTGGGCTGCTGGGACTTGCTGGCTGCTAGAGTGAGAGTGCTGAAATTGATTGAGAAGACCCGTGACCCGCGGGACATTCAAGGAGAAATGTGGAGTGCGAAGCTTCATTGCCACTGTCGAAAGGATGTTGGCACGAAACTATGTGCTTGTAAGTTGGCTCTTGATTCTTTTCCCCCATGAGGTTTTCTCGTGTTTCCATTATTCCATGTATGTACTCACCTAGCGAATGATTTACACTTTTTGGTAGGGGTGGTTCAAACGTTTGCTTCTATTTTTGTGTAATACAGTGATCCAGGCGAGTTTTTCGTGATTGAGAAAAACCTGATTAATTAGAAGACCACTTCATCAATCATCTCCACTTCAGTGTTTATAGTGTACTCTCCGTCGACTTCCTTGACTTTTTCCAACTTATAAATGAATTGATGAGCATGATGCCCAAACTTGAGCAATGTCGAGAGCTCTTGGGATTTTATAATCTCCGAAGCACTGTACTGTGGGATCAATGCCTAGGCTTCCAGCAACCCTGCTCTTCATTTTCTTGTAAATCTGCTCGATTTCTTGCCTGAAAACGAAAAATTTTTGTTGAGCAGTCAATATGCGAGGAAAAAGTCCGTTTTTGTAGTCATCGCCGTGAAAATTGCCGAGCTCAATACTTTTTCCGTACGTGATTGCCAAATCTGGAGAATTGGGGCAATTCAGATTTTCAGTTTTAGGTGGCTCGCGAAATATCTTCTAATCCTGAGTCGTTTATGATTATTTAATTGTCTCTCTGTTTTGCTTGTGTACTTTCTTTTCAAGCTTGTCAACGTCGAGGGATCGTATGTTCAATTTGCCAGATCGGAGTGAAGGGTTCCTCCATCTTCTGCTTTGTGTGCGGACACGGAGGACATATTTTACACATGGCAGACTGGTTTGAATCGTTCCAGTTTTGTCCCTCTGGTTGCGGCTGTCATTGCTCCGTCGAGATGGAGAAATATTTCAGTCCAATCATTTCCACGATCTCGTGACGACCTGATTGGCGGGATTCCTTACCCACAAAATGGATTTGACTCGGGGAGATTCATACGAAAAGGAAGAAAAGCTCGCTGATGTGCCGTGGTGTTGAGTGATGATCGTCGAAGGTAAATTCCGAGAAAAAGCGCTGTGATGAAATTTTATTGTGAACACATTAAACGTGGCTGTATTTGACGGAAGTACATGCATTATCGTGATAGCCGATTGTTCGCGAACTCGTTCTTCGAATCTGATTCAAGCTCTTGTTCTTATAAAAATATTAATGTCTTCTTATCACATCGATCGTCGCTGCGGACGGAATCGTCAGAGCCCAGTCGGGGAATTGACGTCGATATTCTTGGAATTTCGCGTCGTTCAGAGGAGCTCCGTGTTGATAACTGCTGATAATGAGCATCTCCAATTTTACATCCTCCGATCCCTGATTTTCTTCTCCCGTCTGCAAAATATAAGTTTCCCGCGTTAAAAAAAGGCATTTAAGGTACTGTACTGTATCAGATAGTCGAAGGTGATACAATATAAAAAAGAATTGGGTTTTCAAAAATACCCGTGCTTTGAAGCATTTTTAATTCAGAAAACCGCGACAAATTGTCTACCACGTGCATCTTTTTTCTCAGAATTTTCGGGGGGAAATTGGTGATTAAGAAAGTTTACTTAAATCCTGCGGATCGAGAGACATTTTTCCTGTGAAAATTGTGGTATGCATGTTACGCGGCGGAATGTGGTATGTACACAAATAAGCACGGTAATAAATTCTCAGATTTTTCCATTTAAAAAATGATTAAAATGTGAGCGCAATGGATGTTAATGGTAGTCACATTTGCGCTTTTCTGACATTAATCTGCTTTTTAGTTCCATCTCTGTTGGCTTGAACAGTAACGCACACGGGTAAAGTTAATTCAAGGTGTTAATTGTATTTTTGAACAATGAGAACCATTTTTGTGCATCTTCCTTACTCTCGTTTTTTTCAATTCTCTCGAAATATTCACCACCGGTTCAGATTCACTTGTGCGTGGGTTTTTTCAAACTTGGAACTTGCTAAATTTTCCCATGCTGCTTTGTCATGATGCCTTATGAGGTCATTACAGTGTACGGTACTTGGGTACGATTCAAGTGGAAGCGAAGTTTCGTGCATATGGAATGGTAGAAACGTTTCTTACTTGCTGTATCTGAATCCAGAATACCAGTGGTGTTGTTGGAGGTAGACCGTGCGAATAAAAAACGTAATAATTGGGTTGGCCGTTGAGCGGGTCGGCAAGAGATGCCGTTACTGTTTCGTGGAAGGACCATCTCGCGATCTTCCATCCACTGGTTGGCGATACAACAATCGCGATGTGGTCCGGCCCTGAATCAAGTCGATTTCATTGCAAAACCATTTTTGAAGTGCAGAACGACTCCCAATCATTCGAAATTCACTTTTCCCATGTTCCCGATAAACCATGCGGGAATTTCGATTCATTCGTATGCGGTACTTCCCAAGGGAAGCGAAGTTGAACCTTAACACACTACCGCATATTTTCAACTTGAGTCGTCATATCTTCCTTTCGTTGATCGACAACTTATCCGGGCTTATGCAATAAGTTATTTTCGGGAATGTCTGTGAATTCAGGTAGTCCGTGAATTTTGTTTCGCGCTTTTTTATTCATTAAAAACATTCGATTGTCCGTAAAATTTTATTATCCGGGCACAGGCATCCTGTCATTAATCCGGGTTATCGGGTTTCTTCTGTAAATTTTATTTCCAAAAAGAACTTTCTTTTTACCCCCCCCCCCCCCCCAAGAAGTAGTTACCGTTTGTGAGGCTCGTTGTGTAATTGATCGTTTTGATGTTCCGCTGCTCGTGAATTTCCCGGAAATGCTGCATTTTCATCCGCACTTTTATTGTCGGCGGTGGCGCGTGAACGATAACCGATGTACTGAAGGACATAATATATTTATAGCGCAGTTCGCCTCGTCTTTTCTTCCTTTTACTTACGGTGCGAGATTAATGGCGGGGATGAGGTACGGAGCGTGACACCACAGTCGTTTTTGACAATGATCTTCTTTTAGGTTGGATCTCTCAGCTCGTCGCATTTGGGGAACTGCTTCGTAGAGGGCGGTGGGTGTGTTCCAGTCGAGAACCGGGGTCCAGAACCCGCTGTCCTGCTTCTCGAGGGTGTCGTTGGAACCCGCGTCGATGGTATGGTAGCTTCTTCCGAAATGCTGAAAGAGGATTTCTAAGTAAAGTACAGTACTGTAATATATCTTCACAACAAATTCCCAGGGGCCTGTTGAAAATTCCTTAATTTTTGATGCGATCAATTTTTAAATGGATCTTCAGGATTGTAATTTTGTGGGGAACATGTATTTATTATTCTGAAGTGCTTCCTGGAGAGATATTTGAAGAATTCGCATAATTTCCTACTCTCTATGATGAAAAAATGGAGGAAAATTATAGGTGTTCATTATAAAAATCTTCAAGAGATTAATATACTTTCCCTTTCTTGAATTTCCCAAGAACGGATCTTACTGAAACCAAAATTACGTAAGTTGAAATACATTTTTAAGAGGGGCTTTTATTTAATCAGTGCGTGTTTTTTCCTGAAAATGAGCAGTAATCTTTCGAACATACCGTGTAATTGAAGGAATATCCGCTCATAAATTATACAATAAATTTAAGTACATTCTATGATGATATTACTTTTTGCTGTTATGCTGCATTTTCTGTACACTAATATTAGCCTTTCTTTTTAGTGGTTTTTGAACAATGCGAAAGTTGGATTTTCCCATTTTTGTGCCGCTTTTTTGAAAATCCTATGGCTAAAGTGCGCATATAATCGAGGGAAAAAAATTACAGTAGTTGTACGGAACTGAGATTATTGGTGAAATATGGTTTGTTGGACATACGTTTTTATAACGTGTGAAGAAATTGCTGGGACCAAGAAAAAAATTTGTTCGGAGATTTTACTGTATTTTGACGCGTTTCTTAAAACTTATGGTAAATCGTGAACAAATGTTCAGCTCTCGAAATTCACGAAAGTTTTTATTTTATTTCATACGTGCGAAGGGAAGTGGCAAAGCTGCTTTGTCATATAGAATCACATCGTACAAAGTTCGCCAAATTATAAAACATGCGATCAACGATTCGAAAGCATAATAACAATTGCTCTATTATAAACACAGCTTCTGGAGTTTCTCGAGTTGAACTGTGCACAATTTTGCGTGAAAAAATGGTCTTACCATGACGAAAATTCGTTGTACTTGTGGATAAGCATCATCATAACTGTAAGGAAATCCGACGCGTGTTGTTGCTACGAGGACGACTGTCCATATTGTTACGGACAGGCAGATTCTCTCAAGTTTTATCCTCCAGGAACACAAAATTAACAGTGGCATCTGTAGGTGGAAAAGAGGATGGTGAAAATTTCCGATGATTAATTAGTGCCCGATTCGTCGTTTTCCACTCACCAGTAAGCTCGTTACGAGGATGACGAATATGAGGGTTACGATTCCAATAATTATGTCGGGGTTTACGCCGTCTGCTGCTCGGCCAGTAATTGGAATGACGATCCAGAAAGCGTATAAGCTGGTCATTGCGAAAGGCAGCAGGAAAATCAGTTGGCATCCGCAGTATGTCGATGTCCATGGCCAATCTGGTCATATATTTCATGGGGTTTTGAAATGTCGAAGACAACCAAATTTGCACTCTACCGTATTTTTGCATTCTTTGTTTGTCAGCGATCAGTTCCCCGATCGCAGGTGCGACCAAAAGTAGCATCGGGATGTACGAAGAACGTGCCATGAACCCGAACGTGGTTATTAAGAGGAGGATAATGAATATCAATTTTGTTCCGTCCGTGTACAGGTCGACCATTAGCTGCTTGTCTTTCCTTCTTTTTAAGAGCATCTAGAAAGGTAGACGGTATACATTTCGGCAGATTCAGTTTCCCCATCGTGTGGGGAGAGAATAAATCTTGTTTTCCGAAATGCGTAGCTGAATTGATCCACAGGGCGTGCCTACCTCGTCATGAAGCGGACTATTTTTATCGAGGCAGATGGTCGAAGATTTGCGGAGTTCAAATGCGCTATCCTGGTGAAACTTCTCTTTGTTTTTATGTATCCTCTCTTTTGCATCTGGTGTCCGAATTTTTCCGCAGTAAGATTTTTAGTGACTTGAGAAACTGCAGTGCTTTTCATTTATTTTGATGGTGAAACGCACCATTATTTAAATTTTGACTTCCACTGTCCCTGAATATTAATTGATTTTCAAATTGCGTAATTTTTTAAAAACTAATTCAAATAAAAAATACCGTCAAGTATAACGCGCACACCTATACACTTCTAAAATTTTTTAAACTTAATTCGGAACTATATAGTATGTTTACGGACTATAGACACGACACTACGCATTCTTCTTGTTTCCTCTTGATTCTGTGGTACTAATTCGAGTACTGTACATAAATAATAACTTGAGGAAACGAAAAGGTTCTTCATGCATGTCTATGATTTTGTGAGAGTCTGCGATGAATAGCATATTTTTCGGTTAAAACGTGGGGAAAAATCTTGGTTTGCATAACGGAATGGGTGTTGATTTATTGTATGTGCTGCTGGGGACATACTGGATACTTCTTATGATGTTCCCTGTGTCCTGAATCGTTAAGAGACCTGAACATTTTATCATAAATTCCAAAACAGCATCATCAGTGAATGAGAAACACGTCAGAGTCAAGTTATGAATTTCCTCATGACACGCGCGAAACCTGCCTGGGTTTAACCTGGGTGGTCCCAGCAGGCTCTGCTATTTCTAAAAAGGGAATCATTGTAAAAAAAAAATCGTGATATAGCCCATGATGTTCTAAGGTTTTGGGGTTTTTTAAAATTGTCTTTCATTATGATTAGTGAAAACTTTCTAGTTAGAGCCAAAGTTCTCTACCCGTGTCTCAGGGTGCTAAAATGTGTCTGGCCAGCCAAAGATTGAAATTTCATTGTTTTTAACCATTATCTAAAATGGTGGAAAGATATTGGTTGAAGCAACAACAAAATTTAAATTTTAGCATCCTCTCTGACTGTGGTGGAGAACTCTGGGTGCAACTGGAATATTCTCAATTTCCAGTTATAGAGCCGAAGTTCTCTACCCATGTCAAAGGGTGCTAAAATGTGTTAGGCCAGCTGAAGATTGAAATTTAATTTTTTTTAAACATTATCTAAAATGCAGGAAATATATTCGTTAAAGTAACAACAAAATTTAAATTTTAGCACCATCTGAGACTTGGGTGGAGAACTCAGGCTGCAACGGGAATATTCTCACTTACCATCGTCGGTGCAGTACATTGAAATTTATTTTAAATCCGAAAAAAAAAATTCTGCGATCTTATTCTATCCTACATTCTTCTCCACACTTCCGATAATTGTTGTAACAACAAAAAATATTTAAATTTATCGGAAATATAAATGATACCTTTCCAGCTTGCCACTCGGAAACGAGTCGCTGGCAAGCCGACATCGCGCCCCACGCCGGCACCACATACAAGGGCACTATCCAAGACATGGAGCCGTAATAAGCCATGGTCGTGTGTAAGCTGGCCATAAGCCCGGCAACGCAAACATTGGCGATTGCCCCGCAAGCCCAGGACAACAGCACTGCGGTCGTGGACACGACGACTTGCTTCGCGTACACACTCAAACGCCGGTGACCTGAGGAAAAAGGCCGGGTAAAAAATTCGTGGAGGAATTCGCGCTTTTTTTTTAGTTCATTTTTTGATAACTTGGGAAGCATATTGGGGGCAGTGAAAAAAAGGCTCTGCAGGCCAGGGTTTCACATTTTTTGCCGGCATTATTACGGGTTCCGCGAATCCGCGCGGGTCCAGGGTTTTTTGTAAAAAGTCATGAACCATCACGAGCGTACGATTAATTTTCCAGGAGCTGTTGTAGAAAGAATTGATGAATTTTCGACTTCATTAATTGTTTGCATCTCCAATTCTGATAATTGCTGAAATCATTTTCTGTGATCCTCTTGGCAATGAAACCGCGATGCACAGTATTGGAGCATTTAATGTTCATGATTGGTCAGCTTCCGATTCTTTCACATGCACCATCAGGTAACATTTCAGATTAGGACCTCATACAGTATTTTATATTTTTTTAAATGGGCGTCTCGAATGAACAATAATATTATTTTGGAATGAAGGAACGATAGAGTCTTAATTCATGAAGACTCAGAATGTATTTAATTGGCTCATATTTTTCTCTTGAGCGAATATAATAGCTCCATTTTCTCTGATGAGATGTCCATTCCCTTATGAATTCACTTATGCCAATTCTAGAATCACCAATCTTAAAATAAGACGAATAACGTGTTTGGCACAATAATGAAGGGCATTTAAGAAATGTTCGTCACTATTGCTGCTACAGCAGGCAATCAATTGGATGCTGTTGTGCATTACTGCTGCCTAAGTAAAATATTTTAATGACATTATCTACCAAACATCCTTATTTCCTGGACTAGATGTTTCATTGTTTGGAGGAAAAAAAAACTTCTACTGAAGTACGGACCTCATTTGATCAGATTACGGTATATTTTGATCACTTTTTGACTCGAGATAAAAAGCATGTACTATTAGACTTGAACCATCAGAAACACTTAGCCGTAACTAGAAATTTCTGATTGAAAAGGCGAAATGAAAGCTATTCCTGAAAGCTGTGACATTGATTATTGAATTATAATTCACGATGGCCTTGACTCTAGGCAACGCGTTTGAAATTGACTCTACGGCCTCAAAATATTTCGTGTGTTGAATAATTTTCCAGGTGAATGATACTTTAATAGCTATTGCTGAACAATGAGAACTGATCGAATCAGATCATGTAATTGTTTCGACTGAATTGTCTTATCTTTTTTTTCTTTTAGCTTCTGAAGAATCTTTTGGGGGCTCATTCTGAAATCAACGCGTCAGAAGAGCTGCTCATCCGCATACTGCAGAAAATACTTCCCCGAGATGCGCCAAAAAAGACTTCACCGCGTATATACTCGTCCAAGAAGAAATACCGGCACTGTACTTCGAAAGGATGAGAATAAGCTGTCGCACAGCGAAATGCTCACCGGAGATGGCGTGATTCTTCATGAGGAATGCTGTCGCCAGGAATGCGAGTAAGGTGAGCAGGTGTCTTACAGTTGATCCGTACGTGAGAAGGTAGAGACCGGCGAAGTCAAAGTGCACTCTCAGGGAATCCGCGTTATCCCGAGGCCAATCCGCGCTTCCGAGTGCTAAAATGAGCTTATGAAGATTTTCGCCGATTCTTTGCACGGTTTCCGCGGGGATTCGTTTTTCCTCGTCGTATTCCGTGTGGTACACGTAGCCGTTTTTCACGAACGCTATATCCAGACCTTATGTAGAAAGAATGAATAAGGTATACATTGACGACGATTGCTGTTCGTCGAATGAAGTTGAGTAAATTGTAGATGCGATATAATGTCCTCATAATTCATTAACTGCTGGAAGCATAAAAAATGTGTCTCCAGCAGAAACTGAGGAGTCGTGCTTTTTTGTGTAAACTACGAAATTTTATCCAATGCGCCATTTCGTAAAAAAAATCAGTAGCCATTACTTTCAAATCTCTTCAATCCCGATGAAGCTGCAATGAGAAGCACAAGTGATCTAAAGTCTTGTCAGTATTTCTCGCGATAATTTTGTTGCATCATTTGATTTTTGAACGAGGATCTTATCTTAAAGTCTGAATTGACGACCAAAGCTGTCCAACTCAAATTTTTGCATCGTTTTCGAACAAAAATTCATTAGTGCACAGTTTCAAATTTTTCACATCCTTTACGGAGAAATCAGGGAATTTTCATAATTCACAACCCGAAAGTGGAATTCTGTACAATAAATGTATGGATTAATCTGGAATTTCACGGATTTCCCTTGCTGAGGTAATTTTCTATTGATAATTTTATGAAATTCATATTTAATTATTCTATTCGGATTTGAATACAGGATATTCTATGTAGAAGAAAGATTTACTGAAAACGGGTGCCGAGTTTTATACTCCTCCGAGAAAAGTTGTAGGGAGGAAACCGTTAGTCGAAGGTTCTCGCCGACTGACGGATTTCTGGAAAACCTCTCAAAGGATCCCTCGTACAGGAATACGATAGTGTTGAGTTCGAATCTCACATCACATTGCATAATTAGCCGCATGGAGTCCATGGAAATTTTGTAATTTCTCAATCTTGCGCAAAACTTGTATTTTTGACTTACCGGACATTCCTCCGTAGTCTCGGAATATCCTGAAATCCGTATCACTCGGAATCGCGCCGGTGTCAAAAATATCCTGCCAAAACCCCGAACTCACGGGAAACGAAGTCGCTTGCTTGTATATCTGAATTACGCAAACCAAAATATGAAATCATAACTTTTCTTTTGAAGCATAACTGAATCAAAACGTGATTTTCACCTCCACGAGCCACGAAGCACGCGGACCGGCTTGGAACAGGATTTCCCGGCCTCCGGATCCTGCGGCTTCCAAGTTGATCAGAATCTTCGCCTGCTTTCTCCAAGGGTGTTGGGTTATGAATGCATGAGCACCCTGATATTCCGAGAAAGGAAGACAGAATGACTCACATGCGACATGAATAGCAGGGGTATGAGAGTGTATGTATATGATGTCCCTGAAATTTAATTTGGGCGACGAAATTGGTGGCTTAGCCGCGTGTAAGAATAGGACGGGAATGGGTTGACAGCAAGATATATAGAGCGAGAGATTCGTCGTCTCGTTATATACCTTGTTTAATGCGTATTTTACTGCGTAGTAATATCTTACGTGTTCTGCTTTTCCTCTGAAGGGTATCTCAGTGAATTTGCCTACTGTACAGCTATTCGACGACTGAGTTGCTATTGGAAATGAAGGTAGCAGGCTCGCAATCATCAGCTGCGACTGCCAGACCGGAGAAAACGGGTTCAGTCCTCATTATAATCCGTATCCCGTTGTACCCGTTTCCTCTCAGACTTAGAGACGAGGGGGGTTTTCAAACGTTCTCAGATTCGCACCCGAAAAATGTTTCACGGATTCGCAAAATGTTTGAATCACTCGTGTAAAGCGAAGCGAATAGAATTTCACCCCGTAATCTTAATTGCTGGCAAAAGTTGCGAGGTTCAATTTTTCGATTTCGAAATTCAAGTTGAGGGATCCGCCCCCCCCCCCCTCCCCCCAATCGTGAAGAAAATCCTCTTTATGCCGTTGAATTGATATCGTCCGAAATTTTAAAACGTTCTCTAGTATCTCCTGTTTAGCTTTAGCAATTTGATGCATTAGCAGCAGATTGATTATCATAATGCAAAACAATTCCACCCGCAAATTCAGATAAACAGGGAAAAATCGATTTTTATAAATGAAAATGTCAATGCCACGTTTTTGTGACATATTGCACCCGATCTACCAAAGGTATTTCATAAAATGAAAGATGTCTCGGTAGGTTGATGTGATGCATCAGGGAATTTTCGAGCCGATGATACCAATAATTTCTGCCTCAAAAAAGGGCAAATTTCCGCTCGATGTACGTTTTCCTTAATTTTTCTTCACCGATGCTGTTTTTTGAGTCAGCAGAAAAGAATTGAAAAATTTGAATACAAATCGGCTTTCATTCCCATTGGAGGAGACTTATTTTACAAATCTGATTCAGGATTCCATGGCCAAGTTTAGTTATACCCTCGTGATTCTTTTCTGATGATCCCCGTGCATCTGTTTGTTGTGATGTCGGATGTATAGTATCTTGGGTCTTCGTAAAGCGTGACAGAATTTTGTGCCAATCCTTCGAGTTGGTCATGAAATTTCTGCTGCTGGTGTACGGAATTTCTTCGGAAACATGTTAGTTTAATGAGGTGTCAGTGTCACTCCATGATACCGGCCATAATTGCAGCGGTCGTTACAGAATACCGCGAACTGTATTCTCACTCGACTATTTGAGTTAGTATCGCTAAAAAAAAAAACTGCTGAAAAGTGTTGTTACGGCGTAATGCAGTAGATAAATTCTTATCAAGGGCCAAAATGACGTCGAATCATGCGGCTCATATTTTGAGTGCTGACTTTCTCAGGATTATTGTGTTGAATCTGATTCGAACAGACTACATTATATACACCCGAGTGCTATCAAGAATTATCAATTTTTTTAGCCTCCAGCAGACGATTACTCCAATGCCAAAGTGAGATATGGTAGAATCTGAGCTGGTAAAAAATTTGCGAACCAATTACTTCAATTCATTTCATCTGCGTGTTGAAGACTAAAAAAATCTCTTCTTCTGGTCCTTATTATTTTACTTCGTACGACTTCGTGAGCTTAGTCGTGGAGGAATTATTTTTAATGCGAAAAATGTTTAAAATGCATGCTGCTAAAACGGGAAGAAGAAAACACGAAAAGAGGTTAAAACCAAACAAACTAAAGCATTTCACGTACGTATATGTGCATCAAAGGAACTGTGGAACTGTATAGCTCCGGGGTTCGTACCGGGATAAACTCTTGTTCTTTTGTTTTCAACTTTCCGAAACACCCGAACCTTCTTTCCGAAGACAAAAACCGTGCTGGTCTCCAGCGAGGCACGTGCTCATTATTCTCAGAATGTTTCCTATCCTGTATATATATATATATATATATGTATAAGAGAAACACGTACGTACCTGCATGAAATTTTCTTCAGCCCCATTGAATAAGAAGATCACCGGGTGCCTGAGGGTGGGCGCGGTTCGCGTGAGAACTCTGAGAACTTCCAGCATTGTGGCGCAATTCACTGCGTCATCACTCGCTCCTGTTCCGGACACAAAATTATTGTCATTTTCCGCAGAACAAAACATGTTGCGCATATGGTATATATTTTTATTTAATTGAGAACTAATTTGTGAAATGTATAAAGAATACTATATACGGTATGTGCCTCGTCGCTTATTGTAATGGACTGGATTCATACCGCGTCGCCATTCGCTCCTGTTCCAAGTCACACAATCTTTGTCATTTTCTGCAGAAAAAAATGTATTACGCATATACTTTATATATTTTTCAATTGACAACGAATTTGTGAAATGCGTAAAGAGTACTATATAGGCAAGATACGGTATGTGCCTCGCTTATTATAATAATGGACTGAATTCATACCGCGTCGCCATTCGTTCCTGTTCCAAGTCACGCAATTTTTATCATTTTCTGAAGAAAAAATGTAATACGCATGTACTGTCTATATTTTTCAATTGAGAACGAATTTGTGAAATGCGTAAAGAGTACTATATAGGCAAGATACGGCATGTGCCTCGCTTATTATAATAATGGACTGAATTCACACCGCGCGTCGCCATTCGCTCCTGTTCCAAGTCACACAATTATTGTCATTTTCTGCAGAACAAAACATATTACGCGTACAATGTATACCTATTTTTCAATTGGCAAAAAAATTGTGAACTGTGTAAAAAGTACTAGGCAGTATATGTGCCTCGCTTATTACAATGGACTTTATTCATACCGCGTCGCCATTCGCTCATGTTCCAAGTCAGATAATTATTGCAATTTTCTGTGGACAAATATTTTTTATCGCATACACTATTTTTTTCTATAATTGCGAACAATTTCTGAAACGCGTAAAATGTACTTGGTAATAAATGTGCCTCGTTCATAATGGAATGAATTCATACTGCCTCTCGTCACTCGCTCCTTGCTGTTCCGAGACACACAATTATTGTCATTTTCCGCCGAACAAAATACATTACGTGTATATATTTTTTTAATTGCAAAACAAATTAGGAAAGGCTTAAAAAGTACTCGGCAATATTTGTGCATCGCTTATACTGTAATCGACTGAATTCATACTGAATTATCACTCGCTCGTGCTGATCCAATATACACTCTAACACACATACGCCTTGTTTCATTTTCTACGGAAAAATTTTTTTTCACGCTCATCGCAAACGATTTGTATGTGTGGGGAAAAAGTATCGCCAATCGCGTCTCGCTTATTATGATGGACTCAATTAATTGCGTTATGACTCGTTTCTTTTCCAAGACGCACAATTATCGTCATTTTCGCCAGAACAAAATACATTACGCGTATGCGGTAATAATGGTTTAAATTGCGAATAAATGCTTGAGAAGTACTGGGCAAAACTGTTCATGTGCCTCGTTCATAATGGACTTAATTCACTGCGTCGTCGATCGCTCGTGTTCCAGTATTCACACAACTTCCTTCATTTTCAGCTAAAAAAATGATATCTTTCACGTTCATTGCGAAACAAATTTTGAAGTGCGGGGAAAAATATCCGCCTAATGGTGCCTCACTTGTGATGGACTGAATTCGTTGCGTCATCAATCGCTCCTCTTCCAGGAAATGTTTATTTTCATTTTAATACGAAATCTGTTTTCATCTGTAATTAAGCATATGATGCTTGACGCAACCCGAAGGCACATTTGCCAATGTATGAAGTGAAGGTCATGTTATGGGCTGTAGGTACAATTTTCAACTAAGGACCAGGTGGTTCACCCAATAATAGAGACTTGAAAAAGTAGACCATAACTCCTTCCTAACACATCTCGCAATTTTTAAAGTCTGCAAAAATGTGAAAACGCTTTGATGTACGCAATCTGTTCTATACGTCGATAAATTTTCTCCTTGCATGAAGAGACTCCTCATCATCTAGGAAACTTCGAGTGGAAGACTGCAAACTTTCTAATATTCGAACTTCGGAGCGATATTCAGAACGGAAGGTTATTTCCTTTTGTTTCAACGCTTTGAAATGAGGCGGGGAAGTCGAGCCAAACTCCGGATAAAGTGGCGAAGTAGGGATTCTTTTTGCTTTGGGAAGAGTGAGGAACCGATTTCATCAGTTCTTCCTTCATATATACCAAAGCCTGCGAATAACCACCATCATCGGAAAAGTCCGGCGATGTTCGCTGCATATGCCTCCGCAATTTGGAAAAAGTTCTCCGCGCAAACTAACTTTATTTTGTTTTCTTCTCCTCAATCCAATATTGAAGGGAAAAGTCGTGATTACATTTTGAAAGAGGGGAACCTCGATGAAGTTGGCTGAGCATCCCTTCATCATTTGGACAAAGTTTTTCGTCCGCAAACCGCATACAATTCATGCAGTATTTTCTGGCTTAAATCAACGACTGAGGAAAAGTCGTGAGGGAGAAAATGGAAGTTTTTTGTTGTTGTTGCTTGAATATCAATCCGTGATTTGAAGAATTTTCCCGCATTCGAAACAGAAAAATACGAGATTTCTTCAATAATTTAACTTTGGATGATGAAAAATCGCGATTAAAGTTGAAATAACAAAAGCCAGATAAAAGTTGACTCCATAGTCTCATGACTTGAAAAGAAAAAGGTTTACATCTTCGAGTTGCTCAAGATTTAATTTTTGATTCTCTTGTTTCAAATACTGTTGGAAAAGAAAATCATGATTCGAGGAAAATAAATCGAAGTCCGGTTTCGTTGACCTCATTTGATTCCATTATTCGAAAGAGTTGTTCTCTCGAAATACGAGCTTCTTTCTTTCACTTTACGTTAATCGATGTTTTCATGGGAAAGGTTATGTTTCGAAGTTGGAAAATATAAGTTTCAACATGTTGTCTGCATTATAGCCTCTATATCCAGGTCTTTCATGATTCATACTTTCTTGTTGCTGGGATATTTGTAATAATTTAGGCGAGAACTTTGAATTCCGGTGAGTTTGACTGCATCTACTTCGCTTGAATCACCCACGGACTTTATCTTTATGCTTAATCAACGTGAATTGAAAATATAATTTGATGACCGTATGCAGTAATATTTCCTTAGTGTTTTGTTTGTTTTTCTGTATCCAGCCCTTCGAAGGAAATTTACGACCATTTTACTCTGGTAAAATATAGAAAACTTGACCATTTTCGCGCTCGCTCTGAGCATTACTCAACATCTAACTTATATGGCGAGGGTAAACTGGATGAAGGAAGGGAACAATTATTCTTTCACCCCATCTCTGATGAGCATTGTGCAATTATTTATTGGGGCTATCGTGCAAACTTTTCGAAATAAACGACAAAAAGCGTCGTAAATCTCACCTGGTGAACCAACGGGACTGTCGAAGTGACAGTTGACGAGCAGAGCGTCGTCGTCATTATCGACACCGGGGTCGATCCGAACCGCTATGTTTTGTATGTTTTCATAAACGTTGGTGTAATTGTCGAGAAATAGCAGAGAAAACGACCCGCTGGCAACCTGATGGCTCATCTCCACTTTCCAACCAGCATGCTTCCCTTTTTGCTGGACTGGCCCGTCTGGCTATCGGAGAGACAGAATGGTAACATTTTACTGGAGAGTTTATTTTGACAGTTTCGTTGGTCCATTATATAGCTTGGTTTCGGATAATATTGGTAGTCTTACGAATGAGTTTTTCTTTAATGGAGGCTGGATTTTTTTTCTTATTTGCTATACTTTGACGTCTTGATTCAAGAATTTACCGTGTGATTAGCCTCTTGATTATTTTTCGAATAACATCCTGAATATCTTTAAAAATATACAATATTATCGTATGAAACTTTTACATTTTACTCGCGTGTCCAGTGCCCCCAAATTATTTCAGATTATCGTAATCCCGATCGTTGTTGCGTTTCGAACTGGAGGCAACAAATATTTCAAAAAGTGGACGTCAAAATGAACCAACCTTACTCATCAGTGCTAGAAAACTCACTGATTTATTTTATCCGTGAATTATGAAGTCAAGCCGAGGTGAAAGTGATTACATTTTGAAAGAGGGGAACCTCGATGAAGTTGGCTGAGCATCCCTTCATCATTTGGACAAAGTTTTTCGTCCGCAAACCGCATACAATTCATGCAGTATTTTCTGGCTTAAATCAACGACGGAGGAAAAGTCGTACGTTTTGAAGGAGAAAATGGAAGTTTTTTTGGTGTTGCCTGAATATCAATCCGTGATTTGAAGAATTTTCCCGCATTCGAAACGGAAAAATACGAGTTTTCTTCAATAATTCAACGTAGGACGAGTAAAAATCGCGATTAAAGTTGAAATAACAAAAGCCAGATAAAAGTTGACTCCATATTCTTCATGACTTGAAAAGAAAAAGGTTTGTATTCGAGTTGCTCAAGATTTCATTTTTGATTCTCTTGTTTCAAATACCGATGGAAAGGAAGATCATGATTCGAGGAAAAATAAATTGAAGTCCGGTTTCATTGATTCCATTATTCGAAAGAGTTGTTCTCTCGAAATACGAACTTCTTTCTTTCACTGCACTTTAATCGACGTTTTTATGGGAAAGGTTATGTTTCGAAGTCGGAAAATATAAGTTTCAAGATTTTATCCACATTAGCCTCCATGTCCCGCTCTTTCACGATTCAAACTTTCTTGTTGCTGGGATATTTGTAATAATTTAGGCGAGAACTTTGAATTCCGGTGAGTTTGACTGCATATACTTCGCTTGAATCACCCACGGACTTCATCTTTATTCTTAATCAACTTGAATTGAAAATATCATTTGATAATCTTAGAAAGTTATATTTCCCTAGTGTTTTGTTTGTTTTACTGTATCCAGCCATTCGAAGAAAATTTACGACCATTTTTCTCCGGCAAAATGGAGAAAACTTGACCATTTCCGCGCTCGCTCTGAGCATTACTCAACAATTACGTTATATCGCAAGGGTAAACTGGATGAAGAAAGGGAACAATTATTCTTTCACCCCATCTCTGATGAGCATTGTGCAATTATTTATTGGGGCTATCGTGCAAACTTTTCGAAATAAACGACAAAAGCGTCGTAAATCTCACCTGGTGAACCAACGGGACTGTCGAAGTGACAGTTGACGAGCAGAGCGTCGTCGTCATTACCGGCACCGGGGTCGATCCGAACCGCGATGTTTTGTATGTTTTCATAAACGTTGGTGTAATTGTCGAGAAATAGCAGAGAAAACGACCCGCTGGCAACCTGGTGGCTCATCTCCACTTTCCAACCAGCATGCTTCCCTTCTTGCTGGACTGGCCCGTCTGGCTATCGGAGAGACAGCATGGTAACATTTTACTGGTGAGTTTATTTTGACAGTTTCGTTGGTCCATTATATAGCTTGGTTTCGGGTAATATTGGTAGTCTTACGAATGAGTTTTTCTTTAATGGAGGCTGGATTTTTTTTCTTATTTGCTATACTTTGACGTCTTGAATCAAGAATTTACCGTGTGACTAGCCTCTTGATTATTTTTCGAATAACATCCTGAATATCTTTAAAAATATACAATATTATCGTGTAAAACTTTTACATTTTACTCGCGTGTCCAGTGTCCCCAAATTATTTTAGATTATCGTAATCCCGATCGTTGTCGCGTTTCGAACTGGAGGCAACAAATATTTCAAAAAGTGGACGTCAAAATGAACCAACCTTACTCATCAGTGCTAGAAAACTCACTGATTTATTTTATCCGTGAATTATGAAGTCAAGCCGAGGTGAAGACCATTCAGACTCCAGAAGTAAAACAGGAAGTAAATATCTCAAGTTTCAGAATGCCTCAAGCATACGCTGATGCTTGTTTTTTTTTTTTTTGAAGTTCGGAGATTTTCTGATGACGAGGCACAGAGAAAATGACTCCCGAAACTACATGCAATTTCAATCGATGGGGGCCAATTTCAGGGATAATTCGGTTGTCATGGATTATGTTGGAAAATTGGAAAAAAGGTCGATTGTATCCTCTGTGCTTCATGGAATTTTCTTCTACTACGGACTGAGATACTGAGGAAGAACAATTTACAGTAATGCATACCAGATCAATCATAGTGTGACTTTTGCGAAGATGAGAGTTCTTACGCGAAAATGTCAGTTTTTACGATTGACGGTGCAATTGAAAACTGTTTGAAAATTAAGAAGGGTTTGTTTCGTGTCCTTGGGATCGTCATTCCAAGTTGCTGACGAAACTTTTGAACAAGCATCCCTTTCATAATGATTCCGGAGCCGTAAAGTAGCCATGAACCGGATTTCGGGTTAAGTTTTTATCTCTCCCAACAAAACAAGACCCACCCAAAAATATTATAATTTTAACTTTCTAATCTATTTCTTTTCCTTGCTGAGTGGTAGTAGTCAAGTCAGTGACGTAGTGCTTAGTGTCAGTGCCGCACGAAGAGTAACCGTAGTGAAGGGTGTTGGGCACCGGGGAGTGCTGTCAATCTCTTCAACATATTTCGCGCATTTCGTTCCCGGAACCCGGGAACAAACGTGTCGGCATCATCACCGCTCATTGTCATCGTGGATCCGTGCCCATAATCTGCAATCATGGCATCTAGAACTAGGCAAAACGCGAACACGGCCGCCACGAACGCCACGATGGCGGCGAATTTTCGCGGCGAGAACTCGGCCGCCGTCGCCGAAGGCGCGACTACACCGCCACGACGACCAGGTGTTCAACTCTTTACGCCTGACAACAACAACAACCACATCCACTACTACAAAGGCGGTGACCTAAAGGCCTTAAGCCAAAGCGGCTTGTAGTCGTGTCAAAGGGGATTATTCCTGCCGTTGATTGTCTTAGTGCGACGAAGCGGAACCGCGTTCATAATACAATACTGTATTTAAAATTGTTTCCCTGAATACGGGTATAAAACAGATCACGTTACGACACTGTTTTGAAAACCGAAAACAAAAAAATACGAGGCTTTAGTTATATGGAATACGAAATGTGCAGTTACGCAGCTGTGCGAAGCCATTAGCAATAATCCAAATTCAGTCGGAATTCTTTCCTCTAAGGGAATTACAATAATTATGCACCATCAAATTAAAACTTCGAAATTCTCGTGATGCAAAATGCCTGAAATAATGATTTAAGAATAAACTGTTTATGCAAAACTTCCCTCCAAATTATTTTCAGGACGTTTTCAATTTTTATTCGTACAAAACCATCGTTATATATTCGAATCCAGTCATGTCATCTTCTTTTCGAATGTTCTCATGATGCTTTAGATTTAAATGCTTTTGTCAATCTTTTGCTGATATTGAATCGTCCTGGGATTAGTTTATTCGCGGAAAACAGTCCGTATTACTCGAACAGAAATTCTAGTTTGAGTGAAATGAGCTGATCAGGCGAAATATGAACAGAGAGTCCTTATTGCTTCGAGGGAAGGGACATTTTCTCATGTCAACACATTATTCAATGGAAATTTTAAAAAATCCTCATCATTTACGGGATCGGACTTCACTTTCTGACGGTGTTCAAGAATTCTCTACAGTATTACTGAACGGCCAAATCATTGTATAAATACTATTTTCCCAAAAATACAACAGGTCTGATATTTGAAAAAAATATATATAACGTGACTTTGTCTCTGTTTATTACCGCATTTACTCCAAGTCCTCAGTGATACACGCACATCCGATTTTCGGCCTAAAAACTGTGATAAAATTTCAATACTTCAATAATAAAATCTATATAAATTCGAATTTTGAAAAAAATCGACTCAGTTTCTCAAATTATTTTGTTTTAAAATAGAATGAGTCGTAACATGTTCCACACAAGTGACTCGAGTATGAGGAGCACCTAAACTCAAAAAAATTAAAACTTTTACATTATATCCGTACATGACGCGCACCCTCATTTTTTTTCTTCCCAATTTATTTTTTTTTGGCGCACACAACGCACCATATGTGCGCGTAATTATGTCAAATTAATAAACATTGTTAAAACGAAAGTTTAAAAAGTTTTTAGGGGGCGCCTCTAACAGGCCTTACTTCATATACATGTCTATGTATATACCTAACGGACGGACGATCGACTCGAACTGAGTGACTTTTCAGTATTCTTCGGCTTTTTTCGGTTGTTTGCCGCTGTGCTTGTTCATCGGCGGTTTTTCTGTTTTCGGTTGATGTTGTCAAGACGACGCCGTGGTGTTTGTGCATGCTGTTGACGGTATAGAACCGCATTTAACGCTATGCATGATGGGGGGACAAAACAATATGGTACTGTATATATACTGTATATATAAAAAAGTTGATCGAAAAAAAAGGCAGAGAAAGAGAACGTGGGGCGGGATATGCGGACGCGTGGTCCACGCATAAAACGAGCCCAGGAAACTTGTGTCAGCAAATAACGGAATCACCACCAGTGCCGCCATCAGCGTCAGCAGTGGCGGCGGCGACTGTAAATACGAGGGGTCTGACAAAAGTTCTCGGAATAGTAATTAAAATGGCATATAATTGAGCTGAAAAAAAATGTATTCTTTAGTGAAAGCCTATTCTTTGGCACAAGAAAAAAAAATCAGTCCTGTTTGACAAAGTTTTTGAATGTTTTCCAAAATTTACCCTGGCAGAGTTTTTTTCTCCACTCAAAAGATGAGTCGCCCTTCCTGCAAATTTTGTTGTTGTAGCCCAGGGAAAGTTCGTCATATTTTTTATGACGAACTTCCAGGAACCCTGGAACATATTGCGTTATAATGGAATCACCAGAAAAATGGATTGTTTTTTTCTGGAATCCGAGATTGATTTTATTCAAATCTGAGGATATTTTTGTAGATACTAAAGCTTTCCCCTCGTGGCGGGTACGAAGGCGGCTGTCGATGAAAACGGCGGAATTACCTTGGAAGACCTGAAGGCAACCCTTCGAATTAATGCCACGTTGATTTCAAAAATTCTGAGGGGAAAGCTGGGCTGCAACAACAAAATCTGCAGGAAGGACGCCTCATCTTTTTAGTGGAGAGTAAAACTCTGCCAGGGTGAATTTTGCAAAACGTTCAAAAAATTTGTCAAACAGGACGGATTTGTTTTCTTGTTCCAAAGAATAGGTTTTCCCTAAAGAATACATTTTTTTCAGCTCAATTATATGCCATTTTAATTACTATTCCAAGAACTTTGGTTAGAACCCTCGTATATCCACAGCGGAACGGGATACGGCTTCGTATACATGCGTTTGAAAATACCAAGGCACCCTCATAAGTTATTGGATGGACGAAAACATATACTGTATTTAAAACCCCACAGAATCTTAAAACGGGCTTGTTTGAGTCATTGGTAATTAGAGCAATACTGCTTGAAGGTCCTTGGGGACTTTTTATAACCCGATATTGCCTTAGTGGTCTTTTTGTACCTAAAATAAGGAGACCTTAGGCCCTAACTAAAATAAGTTTAGACTCCTATAAAAAGTTAATTCTACAGCACTCCTAAGCAAAATGAATATGATGCCGGGCAGAATATACCAAACATTTTGTCTCATGAAAAGCAATACAATTTCCTGCATTCAAAAAAGTCCTCCGCCAGAGGTTCTTATTCAAGTAATCTATGATTTTTACTTGAGTAGCATTTAACCCTTCTGTGAGCAATGAATAACAATTTAGCAGTACGGTATAATTCATTTAACTGCACGAAGAAAATATTGGAGGGAAAATCAATAAATCATGATGATTAATATAAGGGAAGAATCGAAAAAAATTGAATTTTTGCTGTATTACGTTCGGAAAATTAGTTATGACTAGATTTCATGTCTATGTGTTTTTGCTGGAAATTTTTGAACATTTATTCGGAATGAATAATTCGTTATCAAGGAACTTTTTTCCCGGTCTACCAAAGGTTCCACGGTGGTTGGGATTCTTTTTGGGAATACTGTACCTGTATTGTTTCCTGGACTAAGTTGTTGATTCTCTGCTAGCTATGCATGCAATTTTAAACAGCAAGTTTAATCGGATTCATCAATTGATTGAAAGAAAAAGTCCTTTCCAACAAATATATTTTGTTATTCAGTGCAGTATTAAGATTTCCGCGTTTTGGTCTTGCTTTTTTGGAGGAACGGAAGGCAAAAATTAATGTTCTTTCGAGTAAATTGGCTTCAATTCATACATTAAATAATATTTAGAAAATATGTTTACAATAAGTTATCTGCGCCATTCACAGGAACATTTCAAGCCTCCACCAACACTTGCACCTTATTTTAAACAAAATTGGATGCATCTCTAAGATAATATTTAATATTTCAAAGCATTCTTTCCAGATACTGTATATTCTACTTTCCGCGTCAAATGTTGAGAAGAATTTGGAAAAGAAAATATGAATGTGTCTTGGTTACGTCTGTCAGACAAGTACAATTGAACCTCTATAAGTCAAATTTCAAGAAACCAGCAAAAAAATTAAAATTAAGTAGGTTTTGACTTAGGGAGGTTTTAAATTATAGAGGTTTGAGCAACAATACAAAACTCTTTTGTTCTGGGAAACATAGAAAAATTGCTCAAAATTGTAAATGGTGGTATTCTGGAGCTTGAAGTGCTTATTAAGTGAGCTGAAAGGATGCTGAACTTGTTGGCAAGGGTTCATTTGCTCAATGAAGTCTTTCAATTCCTTTTAAAATGCATCAATTTATGTTTTTATTGCTTTTTTTTCTTTCTTGTGTAAAGAAAATAATAGCCAACAGGCCACAGCAA